TCTCAGATCTACTTTTCTATTTAATGTGTTGTAGTATGTTCTTTTGGTTAAAACAGGAATGTAGTTGGAAAAGGGAGAAACATTCTCATAGCCCCTTCAGGTAACTGTATGTTCTTTTGATACTACACCCAATCTTGACTTATGGTAATTTCTTCAAGGTTAGCAGCAATGTGGAATGTAAAACTGAATCAATATTCTTTCCATTCTGTTACATTAAAATCCACTGATCACTTAGAAAATACTGGTTGATTCAGCTATGAAGATCTTCCAAATGTCAACACCTTTAATATTAAAGTCATTCATCAATACCATCACTAATCTCTCAAATCTTTACTGTGAAGTTGTAAAGCTATTGATCCTAGTTTTTCAAAACTTCTAATTTTTGCTTAAAAAGCTTAAATCTTATTAACACCAACAAATTCTGCCAGTTCCCTTGGGGCAACAGCCTCATCTCATTCATTTTGGAGAAAATGTTAACCACAAACCCAGGTTTGTCAGTCAAGTAAAAATAGTGTTCCATGAAAAACAGTGGCTAATACAGCTTGCAACTCAATCACACAAGGGTTTTTCCTCGACAACTATTACACTGTTCACAGTATGTAGAAGTGCTTTATGTAGCACTTTCTACTTTGTCACATGCAATATTAAAAAGGTGTGTACTCAACAGCTGGATTTAATGAGATTAATAAAATTTATTGCTACTCAGGGGCATTCTTAAGTAAAACTGGCTTTAAAAAGATTTTAGAGCGTGCATACAAGCAAGCACAAGTGAGGGGGCAGAGGGATAGAGAACCTGAAGCAGACTCAGACTACAGAGCCCAATGCAGGGCTTGAGCTAACAACCCTAAGACCATGACCTGGGCCAAAACCAAGATTCGGACGGTTAATCAACTGTGCCACCCAGGTGCCCTATAAAATTAGCTTTTTAGGGGCACCTGGGTGGCTCAGAGAGTTAAGCCTCCGCCTTTGGCTCAGGTCATGGTCTCAGGGTCCTGGGATCAAGCCCCACATCAGGCTCTCTGCTCAGCAGGGAGCCTGCTCCCCGCCCCCGCAACCCCGCCCTCTGCCTACTTGTGGTCTCTGTCAAATAAATAAAAATAAAATCTTTTTTAAAAAGTTGGCTTTTTAAAAAGACTGAGTTTCTGTATTTGCTTCTGGTAGATAACCTTTCTTTTTTTTTTTTTTTTTTTAAGTTTTTTTTGACAGAGAGAGATCACAGGTAGGCAAAGAGGCAGGCACAGAGAGAGGGGGAAGCAGGCTCCCTGCTGAGCAGAGAGCCCGATGCGGGGCTCGATCCCAGGACCCTGAGATCATGACCTGAGCTGAAGGTAGAGGCTTAACCCACTGAGCCACCCAGGCGCCCCTGGTAGATAACCTTTCTTAACAAAAGTTATTCTTACATTTCTAAGGTATTTTAAAATAAAAACTATGCATTGATTTTTATTAAATTTGCAAAAATCCAACTAATTCTATACCTGATATTCCAGTGGATCAAATGAGCAATGGAGTATCAGGTATAGGGACTTAACTCAGATTTTGTCTCTACTTTTTGATCTGCTCATTATCAAGTTGTAAACTGAACAAAGCCTGGATTCAAACAGAAAAGACATTTTTATTTTTAATTAATTTATTTTAAAAATATTTTATTTATTTGACAGAGAGAGAGCATGAGCAGGGGGAAGGAGCAATGGGAGAGGGAGAAGCAGATTCCCTGTTGAGCAGGGAGAATGATGCAGGAGATGCAGGACTTGATCCCAGGACCCCGGGATCATCACCTGAGCTGAAGGTAGATGCTTAACTGACTGAGCCACCCAGACACCCTGAAAAGACATTTTTAAAAAAGTGAGCAAGCTTGGGGGGGGGGGTGGTGGTGGTGTAAACAAGTTGACCAGAGGGTATCTGCTTCATCCATGGGTCTCTGTAGTACAAAAATTAAAGTCTGTTGAATGTGATTTTGGCAATTTGAGGTCATTAAGGAGAAGTGATCTACCATTCGAAAACATCTTCTGCATAGGTTTGTAACAAACTCACTCACCCACAAAATGCAACCCCATATTTGAAGTCTGAATGTATTCATTCAAATCAAACAACCAAAAACAGAAAAATAAAACATGAAGTATACATTTTCCCTCAATCACGACTGGTTTTCAGAAGAGCATCTTCATGAACTTAAGTTTAAATAGTTAAAAAAAAAAAAAAAAGGTCAAACAGTTCGTAAAGAATCAACTGCATACGGTTAAAAGTTATTTCATATTTTATTTTCTAATTGTAATAGTTTGCATCCATTTTTTTACATAAGTCCAAACCTCCAAATCAGTCAATACTAATTAGCTGTCATGAATCTATATAGTAAAAGGACTCATTAGACTTAAGAAATGAAATATGACCAGAGCTATCAATATTAATAACTACAAACTTTCTCTAAAGAAATATAGAGTAGTTGGTATTTTGCAAAACATCCCTCTTTAAGCAATTTAGAGACTTGTTAGTCTAATGCTGAATTAAATGAGGGTGGTAACAATTATTTTAAATATTTTATCAACATGAATGTATGAATATATATATTCTACAAGTTTCTTTTATTATAGGAACTAAAGACTATAAGTGAAATGGTAAATAGAGAATATAAAAGATGTGCATATTTGATCTTATACAGTCCTGGGTACTGCGTGAAAAGCAGCAGACACTGCACTAGGTGCAATACACATTCGGAGACGTAATTAGTCAGTCCCCCGCCAATTCTGCAGGTACTATTCTCATCACCTCCATTCTTACGGTAAGGAGCCTGAAATTCACACAAGTGAGAGAAGGTGCCCGTGGTCACCTGCAGGTTAAGGGCAAAGTGGGGGTTGGGGCACAGGCCTCCTGACCACAGGGCCCATGCTCTCTTCACTCTCTATCACACTGCCTCCTAAGTTCCCAGCAGCTGTGGGGGGGAGAGAAGACCCACTCCAATACTTTCCAAATTCCTTGGTTGTTCACTCTGTACCTGAGGAGTTATCTCAACGCAGCTGTATGAATATTTTGTTCTTTTCTGAGTAGGAAGAAATAAGCAAAGATAAAAAAAGCAAGGATAAAAAGAACAACAGTTTATGGTAAATAAAAAACACAAAAGTGGTGTGTAAAAGTTCATGGGAATCCAAACAGTATAAATGAAACTCCTCTTGCTAAGCAGGATAAAGATCTAAACATCTCCTACCAATATGAGTCTTAATTATTAGGACAAGTAACATAAAGAACCTCACTTTCATTTTGATGCTGTCAAGCTACGGTTAATACTGGCTATTTTAAAATCTGTAGGAAATAAAGTATAAATCCAGATAGCTATTTTTATTTCAAACATGCTTTTACCTAACTTGATTACTCTGTTGTTCTGAAGTCAGTACTGACAGTTTATATTTACTAAAGATGTTATTCACCATCCTATACTTTAGTATTTACATAAAATAGATGAGATTAAGTTAAACTACAAGTCACAAGGAGTTTTGCAACCAACTATATTCACAGCCATGATTCTGTAACTGTGGTGAGTAAACCAATGGCCATTCCTTAATAAAATACAAGAATTTTCATCATGCATAGTTTACAGGATCCTTAAGAGGTGGTCTCTTAAGAGGCTGAAGTTCAGAAAAGATTCAACAGTCAAGCAATTAAATCTTGGCAAGTATTTTTTCACACAAATGCTTGGTTTGGTTGTTGAGCCACCTTAGTAATACAATTTATTTATACTCTAACTGGAAGTAGAATCAACACTGCATGAAAAATGCAAGCCCATCAAATTCATTAGTAATAATTACTATACCTGCTTAGCAGGAAGAACAATTATTCTTGGATTTCAAACATTTTATTTTCTTTCAGGGCATACCTTATAGCCTTGTGTTAGCGAAATCAAAAATATAACCAAAGAAACCCCAAAGCCAAAAAAAACCCCCAAAACAACAACAAAAAACCACAGAACAAAAACCTTAAACAAGAACTCAACAGAACACACATACACACACCAAAAACACAAAACAAAACAAAAACACCAACTAAGGACCACTTCCATTTCTCATATGAAATGTAATCAATGAAACTATACAAATTTCACATTAAAGTTAGTAAAACAATCCCTCCAAGGAGTGTTGCATATGACCTAGAACTTTACCATTTTATAATCATTATGATTTGAGATTTTCCAGGATGCAATGGCACTAGATTAAGCTCTTACTACATAGGCAAGGAAAAAAACTGTCACTAATATCCACATGAATGGGGGCCATACTTGTAATTTTCAGACTCTTTGGACGAACCATATTTGTTAGAGGAGGTAAGGAGACAAAGTAATGTGTGAGTTGTACCATCCCTACCATGAACTGTACCACAGACGCAGAGTTACAACATTCTTGGTAAAACAACAGAGGAAAAGGATCTACATATACACCACAAATTTAGTAAAACACTTTTTATATAGAAGCCTAAATATCTTAGGAAGTTTAGATTTTGATGAAGATAATCACTAAGTCGATTTTTCAAGGCTAGTTTCTTACAAGTCTTAAAAACCAGCCCATGGACTCGGATGCATTCCACCTAGGTAAGTCTTCAGAACTCCAGAGAATAAGAAACATGAATTCCAACTGTCTACTCATTTCTGTTCTCCGATTTAATGTTTTATAGTACCTCAGATTCTGATTCCAGTTTGCACACTTACAAATAAACATGAGATTAGAGAAGATTTGCTTATTTTTTGAAGCCACATGAAGGTTTATTTCCCTTTGTAGTACTTTTCATCATTGAAAACATCTCTGGAGACCAGCAGAATAAAAGCTTCACAACCTTAATGATGGAACTCTTCATTGCATAAGATTTCAATGTGGCTAGTGAGGTCTAAATAGCCCCGCCCTTAATTTCATCTTGGTCGAGTTGAGAACAAAAACTGAATAAGGGAAAAATCCAAATTCCCAATAAAATATAAGCAAAACAAATCTTTACACACAATAAAATATATCCTAAACACAAAGTAAGGGTATAATATACTCTGCAGCATGACACTGTCTTTATTTCTCAGCAGTACTTCTTCCATTTAGAAATGAGAAACCATCTTTTCAGTAAATTGTTATTCCCTTCTCTTTTTACAGCTTAGGGATAGTTTGAAAAAGGCTTAAATTGTACAGTTGTTAGGAAATTAAATTTTCATTTATACATAATTCAAGAGTTTATAAACCACTCAAAATTGCAGCTTATATGTATATGACGTCTGAAATAGAATGACACTTTTAACAATATTTTTGTTCTTTAAAAATATTCTACATACATGCATATGATCAAAAACAGTCTTCTTGTTTGGGAAATTTCCTATGCACAGTAAGAAAAAAAAAAACTGACAACTATAGCAACGTTTCAATGTCAGGATAACTGGGTGCCACCTACTGTTCAATTCCTATAACTACTAACCTTACAAATTAAAAATTGCTATTAAAACCTAGGTTCTAAAACCTGCATTTTGGAAATGCTTTTTTGTTGATACATTTATAGTGGCAAAATAAGATCATGAAAAGAATGTACATGATATCAAAATTAGTATAAAAATAGCCACATGCTACTTAAATATGAAAAACTGACCTAATCATTTTTTACTTCAAATGCAGAGTTCTGCTTCCTTTAAATTGTATCAAAATCTCAAGGGAACATCGAAATAACTGGAATATACAGAAAGTCACTGTACAGTTGACAGGCTAGTCAAAGTTAGGGCTTAATCATAATCCATGAGTGTAGGGCAAATGGTTTATTCAAAAGATTCATTTACTTATGGGAAGCAGCCAAAGTAGGAAAAGGAGTAATGCATTTCCCCCCACTTTTTAAAAATAGTAGATGTGGTCTTTTACCCATAAGCTCCAAAACATCAAAAGAACAAAGGGGGCTTAACTTTTCACTTAAGAGAATTCAGCATTACCAGTTTTTAAAGAAATACCTTAGAAACAAATCAGTCTGCTTTAACAAACTGTATTCATGCTAATGAAATTTTAATCTTCTTTAACAGGTCACAGCCAAAATCCAAATTGTGGGAACAATCCTCAGAGAAATTGGAATGTAAAATGTTGAATTCAATTTAGATCTGGAAGAGAAAAGAACATCAGATCAAACAAAATAATTCTTACCTTTCAGCAGTCCATCACATAGGGGAGCCTTGCACACCCTAAGGCTACCTTTGAAGAGGAAATTCTATACACTGGGTTTTTCTCCATTGGTTTGTTGCCAGTAAATCTTTACAACCTCCTTCAGAATGTCATGCCATGCAAAATATTCTTTTTTTTTTTTTAAAGATTTTATTTATTTATTTGACAGAGATCACAAGTAGGCAGAGAGGCAGGCAGACGGGGCGGGGGGAGCAGGCTCCCTGTTGAGCAGACAGCCTGACGGGGCTCGATCCCAGGACTCTGGGATCATGACCTGAGCCGAAGGCAGAGGCTTTAACCCACTGAGCCACCCAGGCGCCCCCATGCAAAATATTCTTAATAAAGTTTAGTACGTCTTCCCTTTTTTGTTAGTGGTAAGAGATTTTTTTTGTTCTGGGACGGAAGCAGACACACAGGAGTATTATCTGAGAAAGAGAGGGGTCTGGCAGTAACCAAATTCTCCTCTCAACCTGGTTTTAGAAACAACTAGTATTACCTATAAATGATCTGAAGAAATGTCTTGGAAACGTAGGGTTCTCAGGTGATAAAGCAACCCTTGCTTTATCTTAATGTTCAAGATAACTCAAATTCCTTTGGTATCCACCATATTTCACCATCTCTTTCCCTGCCAGCGTACTGGGTCCAGCCCTAATGAATCACTGGCACAGATTCAGTTTTTTTCTTAGAAAATCTTAACCTTGTTTAGATCCTCAACCTATTACCTCTGTGTATTCAAATTCAAATTCATACTCAAAAGTGTTCTCTGATTTGGTTCTTATTTCCAAAAGAGACCTACCCCAGCTCTAAAAATGTCTGGATTGCCCCTTTATTTCCAACACAATTCCATGTCAGGTTCTGGTCACAGAATATAATCAATAAATCTACTGTCAAAGTATCATTAACAAGTCAGTCACAAGAATTCTGTGGCTCAGGGTCTCTAAAGGGAGATACATTAAAAAAACAATGACGTATTTATGTAAAAATTCAGAAATGCATATACACATAGAGGATATGTACTCAAATCCTTAACTCACCCTGAGTATTCTAAATGGTCTGAAGATGCATCAAAATATAAGATGGGTTGATGGATGAATAAAGATATAGTTAGATATATGATAAATCAGGTAAAAAATATTAATTATAGAACCTGGGTAGTGGGTATCACTTGTGATGCCTAATTCAGACTCCCCGCAGATCAGCCTTTGTATTTTTGAAAGGCCCTGGTAATCACGTCACACAGTCTAAGTCAGGAAAAGATACCCCAGATACAATGAAATTTCATCTTTGAATCAAACCAAACATTAGCATAATTATTTTTAGATTTATATACATAGGTGGGCTCTCAACTACATTTTTATTTTAAGGAGTTGAAAAAGAGCCCAAACTGGAGTTAAGAGTAACTTATAATACTACCCCAATTATTTAATAAATTTATATTGCCAGAAACTAAGTATGAATTTCACTTAAATACTGTAACAGCAGAAGGGCATTTTTTCTGGGGCGCCTGGGTGGCTCAGTAGGTTGAGCCTCTGTCTTCTGCTCGGGTCGTGATCTCAGGGTCCTGGGATCAAGCCCCACATCCGGCTCTCTGCTCAGCAGGAAGCCTGCTACCCTCTATCTCTCTGCCTGCTTGTGATCTCTCTCTCTCTCTCTCTAATAAATAAATAATCTTAAAAAAAAAAAAGGCATTTATTCTTGTGAGCATCACTGCTTTACCTTTCAGAAAAAAAATATATTTTCCTAAAACACACCAACACCAAACCAAGAGTTTGCCAACAACGCATATTCAATAGATGAAGTAACATAATTGGCGAAAGGTCTCTAAAGATTTATTTTAGAAAGAGAGAGGTCACACATGTGGAGGAGAGGCAGAGAGAGAGGGAGAGAGTCTTAAGCAGAACTGAGCGTGGCGGCCAACTGGGGGCTTGATCCCACAACCCTGAGATCATGTTCTGAGCTGAAATCAAGAGTTGGATGCTCAACTGACTGAGCCACCCAGGGGCCCCTGGAATTACAACATATGTTAAAAACCTTGTTAAAACTGAGACCTTCTGGGGCATGTGGGTCAAGCATCTGACTCTTGGGTTTCAGCTCAGTTCATGATCTCAGGGTTGCGGGATTGAAGCCCGCACACTGGGCTCCATGCTCAGGGCAGAGTCTGCTTGAGATTCTCTCTCTCCCTCTGTCTCCCCCGCACGTGCTCTCTCTAAAAAAAAAACTAAACATTTAAAAAAATGTTGTAATTCCAATGTTCCATATCAAGCTAGTTAAAAAAGATTCTTCTAATATACCAGTATTTCAATTAAGGCATGTTTCTTCGAGAAGATCTTCTATTTCTTACAACTCTCTGCTAAATTCAGACACAGCTATCTCTTAAGATACTTTTAAACAAGTTATGATTCCAATGCCTAGCATTTATATCACCAAAGCAAATACTGATCTTTTCTGGAAAAAATGTTGAAAAGATTGTAAGAATTCTCAAAGTATAACAGTTTGACTAGTTATCTTCTAAATAATACCGAGTATTTTAATTCATGGACAAGTCTTGAAATATACCCTAATTCAAGTATTCAACATTTTTAGTTTAAAGGAAGACAGGAGAAAAAGCTGGTTTTCTCTGTGGATAATTCAGAAACAAAAGTTGGAAAATATAAGATCCATCTACTCACATCATCGATGTCTTCATCATCATCTCCAATGTCATCGAACTGAATTTCATCATCATCTCCAGGACCAAATGTATCAGTTTCATTGATTTTAGCTAAAGAAACAATAACAAATACACTCATATAACCAAGATAATATTAAAATGGTCTAATATCAAATATTGACGTATAAAAAGACTCTTATGAGTCAAAGTTATACCGATTCAAGTATAGTTGACATATAAATTTCAAGCGCACATGGTTGATTTTGACAATTATATACACTACAATATGTTCACGAGAATAAGCATAGTTACCATGTCACCAAAGTTACTACAATATTATTAACTACATTCCCCATACTGTACTTTTCATCCCCATGATTTATGTTAGAACTGGTAGTTTGTACCGCTTAATCCCCTTCACCTACTTCGCCCACCTCCCCGCCCCCCAACAACCACTGGATATCTTCTCTATATTTACGAGCCTTTCTCTCTTGTATTTTTGTTTTTTTTTTTTAGATTCCGTAAGTCTAAGTGATATCATATGGTATTTGTCTGATTTATTTCACCTGGCATAATACCCTTTAAGTCTATTCATGTTACTACAAATGGGAAGATTTCACTTGCTTTTATGTCTGAGTAATACTCAGTTGTATGTGTGTATCAATCACATATCCTTTATCCATTTATCTATCAGTGGATATGTGAGTTGCTTCTGTTATCTTGGCTATTGTAAATAATGCTGCAATAAACATAGGGGTACATACACTTTTTCAAATAAGTGCTTTCATTTTCTTTGTGTATATATCCAGTACTGAAATTACTGGACCGAATGGTATTTTTATGTTTAACTTTTTGAGGAACTTTTAACTTCTCGAGGAACCTCCATACTGTTTTCCACAATGGCTGTACCAGTTTGTATTCCTACCAACAGTGCACAAGGGTTCCTTTTTCTCCCCATCTTCGCCAACACTTGTTATTTCTTGTCTTTTTGATACTAGATATTCTGACTGGTACGAGGGGCATCTCACTGTGGTTGTGATTTGCATTTCCCTGATGATTAGTGATGCTAAGCATCCTTTCAAGGCCTATTGGCCATTTCTACATCTTCTATGTAAAGTGTCCATTCAGGTCTTCTGTCCATTTTTAATTGGATTATTTGGGAGGATTTTTAGGCATTCAGTTGTAGGAGTTTTTTTTGTCTTGTTTTTAAGATTTTATTTAGGGGTACCTGTGTGGCTTAGTCAGTATCTCTCCCTTTCGCTCTCAAATAAATAAAATCGTAAAAGAAAAAAAAAATGATTAATTTATTTGAGAGCGAGAACACGCACATGTGCAGGAGCAGGGGGAGGGGCAAAGGCAGAATCCCCTGCTGAGCAGGGAGCAGTATGCAGGGCTTGATCCCAGGACCTGAAAGAAGACGCTTAATCACCCAGGTGCCCCAAGCTATAGGAGGTTTGTGTTTGCTTTTTTTTTTTTTTTTAAACATATTTTGGATATTAACCATTTATTAGATAAATCATTTGCAAATATCTTCTCCCATTCAATAGGTTGCCACTTTGTTTTGTTGGTTTCCTTCATGGTCCAAAAGCTTTTTGGGTTGACATAGTCCCAAGTATTTATTTCATAAAGATATTTTTAGTAAAGCAGGCTCTAGTTACACAAATTCTGAAACCTTTACAACTTCTAACTATGCCTCAAACTGGTTAGAGCACATGCTAACAACTACCAATCACCAGACAGACTCATCAATCAGAAACTTGAGTCAAATCATGATTATCCCTAAGCAATGAAAATGAACTGGGAAGTGCTGGTTCCATTCCCCAATATACTAGCATTTCCTAGACTGGAAATGTTAAATAATTTTGGAGGATTTTCGGCTTAAGTAAAATTATATTGTTTTCATAATAATATGCAAGAAAGCCCAAACGAAGAAAAAACACAACAAAATGAAACAAAAACACCAAATGAAATAGATACTTAGGCTTACAAAATAGTATGTAAAGTACATTTCCCCTTTGGTGAGGTTACGAAGGACTTATTTAAGTTTACCACCTATGAATGCGTAATTTTTTTTTTTTTTTTTTTGAATGCGTAACTTTTGAGGTGCCTGGGTGGCTCAGTCAGTTAAGCATCTGCCTTTGGCTCAGGTCATGATCCCAGTGTCCTGGGATGGATCCCCACATTGGCCTCTATGCTCAGCAGGGAACCTGCTTCTCCCCCGCCCCCCAACTCATGCTTGCTCTCTCCCCCCCTCTGAAATAAATAAATAAAATCTTAAAAAAAAAAATACACAACTTTTGTATTGGTAACAGAGAGACAACATTGGTTTTAAAAAATCCTACAGGATCCTTTAATACTAGGATAAGAACTGAAAACTGACTTTATAAAAATTGACAACAGTACCTAAGTACTATCCCTGCTTCATATTTAAAGTAGATGAACAATGACAATCTCTTGAGAAAATTATTGTGAATACTGAAATAAATACTGAAACAAAAGTAATCCTCTGATTAGTATTATGCAAAAGTTCAAAGTATAAAATATAACTCCACACCAGAAAGTATTTATTAAGGACAGAATCCCAGTTACTTTTTTCTTAAGGTATCCAGTATTATGAAGCAGGCATACTTAAAACGAACCATGTAAGCACAAAAGTAAATACGCAAAATTCTACCAAAATTCCTTCACCTAAGTGAAGTACGAACCAAGTACGAACACCATATGACAGGTTAATAAAGTAACTCAGACATTACCATGCTCTGGAAGCTCGCCATATGCCTTCAGACTTCTAGCTTCATCTGCATTGTATTTTAAAATTACATCGGCTTTATTATCCTAAAAAAGACAAGTAACTTTTAGAACCGATTATGCCAAAATATTATTTCCCAAATTATTTTCAAACTGGATAAAAAATTAAATCTCACTGTGGTTACAATCCTTTTTTCACATTTTAAAGTTTTCTCCTACCTAGTGCGCTTGTTGTCATAAGCACTGGATGACATATGGAAATGCTGAATGACTGTATTGTTAATTATACTGGAATTAAAATTTAAAAAAAAATAAGTATTAGGGGCACCTGGGTGGCTCAGTCCGTTAAGTATCTGACTTCAGCTTAGGTCATGATCTCAGGGTCTTGGGATGGGGCCCCTGCATCTGGCTTCCTGCTCAGCAGGGAGTCTGTTCCTCTTCCTCCCCTTCTGCCTCTAACCCTGCTTGTGCTCTCGCTCTCTCAAATAAATGATAAAAAAAAAAAAGTATCAAAAAAAAAAAAACTTTTTAAAAGATTTTATTTACTTATTTGACAGAGAGGAAGAGATCACAAGTAGGCAAAGAGGCAGGCAGAGGGAGAGGGGGAAGCAGACTTCCTGCTGAGCAGGGAGTCAGATGAGGAGCTCGATCCCAGAACCCTGACTGAGATCATGACCTGAGCAGAAGGCAGAGGCTTAACCCACTGACCACCCAGGCACCCCAGAAACAAAATTTTTAAAAAATAAAGTTTTCTCCTACCTTCTAAAAAACATCTTCAGGATTATATAGTATAAAGCTACTTACATGCATAAATGAGTAGTGATCAACAAGCTTAAGGGAGATATTTACAGATCTCACTTTAAAAAGGGAAGAACTGTGCAAACCCAATCTTTTTTTTTTTTTTTTTTTAAGATTTTATTTATTTATTTGAGAGAGAGAGAGAGATCACAAGTAGGCAGAGAGGCAGGCAGAGAGAGGAGGAAGCAGGCTCACTGCTGAGCAGAGAGCCCGATGCGGGGCTTGATCCCAAGACCCTGAGATCATGACCTGAGCAGAAGGCAGAGGCTTAACCCACTGAGCCACCCAGGCACCCCCAAACCCAATCTTTTAAGTGTTTACTATTATCCTTTGATTAGAAGTCTTTTGAAATACAAAAATTCCCTGGGACCATAATTTACAGGTTGATTAAACAAACTAAAAAAATGTGTAATGTGTAATGACCTAAGGAAATTAATATGCCTTTCCATGAATCAGTGGTTCTTAGAATACGAACCGAATGAAATCTCCAATGGAGCCTTTATATTTCCTGGAGCTAGATCAGTAGAGGCAGAGTGAAGTTAATGAATTTGTATTTTTAAAAGCCCTTTTAAGTGTTTCTGATGCAAATGTCCCACTGAAAACTACTGCCATAGAATGTTCACACTTTCCCATTTGAAAAGAATCCCACTCAGTTAAGGAAGGAAAAAAAGTGTTGAAGCTGATTGTTTCAACTTCAAGAAGTTCTTTGGACCTAAAAGCAGGACAGAAGGGCTTCAAAGAGGATCAGTTATGCAAAGGCAGTGTGATTCAAACCAGTCCTTCTTGAACTGTGATGTTTATAGAAGTTCAAAGGTAAATTGCTAAAACGCATATTCCAATTCAGGAGGACTGGAGTGGGATCCAAAAACCTATTATCTCTGACAAGTTCCTAAAAGCCAGTGATGCCACTGGTCCCTGGACCACCCTTTAAGTGGCAGGGGTAGAGAAGGTGGTTTGTGGAAGATTAAGAATCAGAAAAAGTTGGTCTTGGCTGTCATTTTATAGTCGGAATTGTACATGTTTTCATATCTTGGGTTTCCTTATCCATCAAACAGAGAACTATTCTTCCTACTTCTGGGGTTATTTTTAAGATCAAGAGAAGAAACCGGACATTAGAATGGTATTTTGTTTTGTTAGAGAGACAGTGCACACTTGCAGGGGAGGGGGCCAACGGGAGGAGAGTGAGAATCTTAAGCTGGCTCCACACCCAGCAAGGAGCCCAAGGCAGGGTGCAACTGTGACCTGAGAGGAAATCAAGAGTTGGACGCTTAACCGACTGAGCCACCCAGGCATCCCAAAATGATATTAATTAAAGCAGGCTTTTTTGTACCTCAGCATTATTCACATTTTGGGCTGGGCAATTCCTTGTTGTAGGGACTGTCCTTTGCAATGTAGGATATTTGGCACCACCCCTCGTCACTATCCATTACATGACAGCGACACTACCTCCCCCAGTTGTGACAACCAGAAATGTCTCCAGACACTGCCAAATGGCCCCCTGGAGGAAAAAATTCACTCATGGTTGAGAACCAATCATTTAAAGTAAAGATTTTAATTCTTTATTCTGGAACATATATTTTAAAAAATCAAGGTAGGATCAAGGCTATAAAAACAGAAACATCACTCACAATGTGATTAAATATATGGTGATGAGTTCCAACAGGGAGAAACCAAATGGCCTACAGAGACTCACAATGAGTAGTCTTCAAGTTGAGATTATGAAGGGTAACTACCATTTTTTCCTCTGGGTGCTCATTCAAATTTAGATCACATACTTCTATCATGGTTTCTACCACAGTTACTTGTGTGCCTGTCTCACTCTTTTCACTACCAGGCCATAAGCATTTTGGGATGGGAGCTTGGCTCATTCAGGTGTATCCACTACAGTAACAGTTCCCAGATTTTTATTTCAACAAGTATGAAATAAAAAGAAAAGAAAAATTGCCACAGGAGGTCCACCATAAGATTAAATTTTTATTTTAACAAATAAGAACACAAACAAAACCACCACTAACATCACTCATTCCAAACAAGGGAACTTTTTAAATATCAAAAAAGGTAAAAAAAAAAAAAAAAAAAAAAGACCATTTAACTTTATGAAAAATTCACGCTGCCTGTTATTTTTTCCATAGTGAAAACATGGACTCCACAAAATGGCCACTTGGGAACCATGATGCCTAGGGTATCCAGCATAATACCTAAAAAAACGTAACTGGCCCTTATAAAATGTTTGTTGACACAATGGTGAGCAGCATGCTGGGGTGGAACTGGTCAAATACAGTCATGACTGAAGTTCTAAGCACTAATGGCTCACAAAATTCAACCAAGTGAACAAATGAGAAAAAAATATATACATATATATATATTTTTACCTGGTAGTCTCGGAGACCAACCAATATAATGTCTGAAGTATTTATCCAAACCTATGAAAGAAAAGTCACTGCATGTCATATTTAAAAATAAAGAACCAAAGCAACACTGAGTCAGTCTTTCCATAAAACACTGTTCACCCACTTGTGGGTAAATTACCCATATTTAGAATAGGAAAAAAATACTACAGTAAGCAGCTGAGATGTTTCAAATCTTCTATAATTTGGGGTGTTAAAATCTTATTTAACTGCCTGTTTATTAATTCCAGAAGAATAATGACTAGATTAGAAATTAAGGAATTTTTAATAGTGAATTACTCCAAGTGGTTAGTTATCCATCCATTACATGTGAGAATACAAAGTTAGAAATGTACTTTTATCGCCTTCCCTCTCTTCATTTCACCAACCCACATAACAAGAAGCTGGCAAAACCCCTTTATAGTTTGGTAACGAGATTAAATAATAACCATATAAAATCAGAGTTTGAGGGACCTTTACCCAACTTGATTAATACATCTGCCTCAAAGCCCACTATGATGGGATATTAATCATTCCTTCCAAGGCAGCCCATTGAAGAAATTTAGTATCACCATAACACTAACTGTAATTCCTATTCAAATTTTCGTAACACTCTTTACAACTATTTCCCCCACCCTGAAACCAGAATCCAAACATGGGCCACATACCCCATTTAACCATTAGGTCTCTTTGATCTCCATTCAATTAGAATAGTTCCCCACCCCTTTAAGGTCATTAACATTGTATTAAGAGCCAGGCCATTTGTTTTGTGGGTTTCTCTCAATGTGGATTTGTTGACTGTTTATTCATTATTAGATTCCGGTTAAACACTTTGAGCAGAAAAAAATAGGTGATGCAAATGTGTCTTTAAATGGAATCCATAAAAAATTACCATCAAGGAGTTGGCTGTTTTATCACAGGTAATAAATCACTCTTCTACTGTAATCTTTGGGGAACTTCCAAAAATGAGGTACCTGACCCATAAAAACTATGGAGCCATCTTCCCCCTTAATCACAATTTTAAAGTAAAACAAATTTCCACACCTACCTTTTTTCTCAATTTCCCTCTGATGTGACATAACCTCTTTACACCATCAAAACACATCGCTTCTAATCGTCCATTTCCCAACATTTTGATTACTTGAGCATACTCTGGGGGAGGGAAAACAAAAGTGTATAGGATACTGTTCAACTTTTCAGAACAGCAACTTAAAAATCCACACAAAACTGACTAGAACTGGGGCACCAGGGGGGCACGGTCCATTAAGCATCCGACTCTCGGTTTTAGCTCAGGTTATGGTCTCAGGGTCTTGAGATCAAGCCCCGTGTTGGGCTCTGAGCTCAGCAAGGAGTCTGCTGGAGTTTCTCTCTCCCTCTCTCTGTCTTTCCCCACTCTCCCTCTCTCTGTCTTTCCCCACTCTCCCTCTCTCCCTAAGCGAATAGGTAAATCTTAAAAAAAAAAATTGACTAGAACAGGGGCACCTGGGTGTTGCAGTCAAACTCTTGGTTTTGGTTCGGGTCATGATCTCAGGGTTCTGGGATCAAGCCCCGCCTCACAGTCCAATGTCAGCCCAGAGTCAGCTTCAGATTCTCCCTCCCTCTCCCCCTGCCCCTCCTCCTTGCTCTAAGATAAATAAATAAACCGAAAATGAAACAAAATAGACTAGAACACATAGGTATAGTGGTTAGGAATAAATATGTGTAGTAAAATAAAGACTAGGGAGTAATAAACACTAAGCTAGTTACTGGTAGAACCAGAATCTAGACTCCATAATGTCCTTTCTATAACAAGCTATCTCTTATCAGAAATGCTTTAATTACATCTATTCATTTTGAGTAAACAGAATGACTACTGTCTTCGTAACTGCAGGCTTTACTTTTGGAGACCAAGGTGGCATGTCCCAAAATGCATATTATATCTCTTCGATCTCTCTCATTTGGAATGTCTCCCAAATTTGGATCTCCTTTCCCTCAGATCTTATAAAGGCTAATTTCAACAATTTGGCAAATACAAGTAGCTTAATGTTAGCTGTTTTTTTTTTAAAGATTCTTTTTTTATTTGAGAGAGAGAGAACAAGCACAAGAAAGTGAGAGAGCGAGCGAGCGAGCATGAGTGGGGGAGGGACAGAGAGAAGCAGGCTCCCAGGTGAGCAGGGTGCCTGATGCGGGTCTCGTTCCCAGGACCCTGGGACTGTGACCTGAGCCAAAGGCAGATGCTTAACCGACTGAGCCACCCTGGTGCGCCAATGTCTTTATTATAAGTCATCATTCAAAGTTTTTGTAAAGCCAGAAAGATGTTCTCAGGCAAAATGCCAAACTTTTAAACAAAACCCTTCCAAAAGGAAACCCAAGAAGCCCCCTGGTTTTATTGACATTTGGAAAACTAAGATGATGAGCATTAGCTTGCACGTGGGCCTGTCTGTGCTTCTCTTGTCATTAAATGACAGAAGACTGGAGTAAGCTTTAGCTTACTCAAGTTGTACATAAGACTGACCCACAGAGAATACCCACAGGTCTGTAAGTACACTGAGACCCAACTTTGAAAGGCTCAACCATGGAGTTAACATGCTGAAGTGATTGCTCAGACTATACTGCACCTAGAGCCTCAACATGGTGGGTCAATTCAAAGGCAGCCTCTCTTCCAAAGTGAGGGGAAAAAAACATGAAAAAAGTAGTGGTGGTCATAATGAAGTCAACAGCTAATGGAGGCAGGCCTAACTACGGCTAAGAAACAAAAAGGTCTTTTAGCCACAAAACATGCCTCATTTTTAGTGGCTTATATACACATAGCCATGAACAAAATCCACCAAAGTTCTTACAAAAAGACAATCAAAAAAGGTTCTTTGTTAAAATATGCCGGGAGGTACTAGGATAACTGGAAAATTTCAAAAATAGATTATATGCTAGGTATATAATATATTCATGTTAAATTATCTGAGTATGATAATTCTATTGTGATTATATAAGAGAATATTCTTCTTGGGCGCCTGGGTGGCTCAGTTAGTTAAGCGACTGCCTTCAGCTCAGGTCATGATCCTGGAGTCCCGGGATCGAGTCCCGCATCAGGCTCCCAGCTCCATGGGGAGTCTGTGTCTCCCTCTGACCTTCTCCTCGCTCATGTTGTCTCTCACTGTCTCTCTCTCAAAAAAATAAATAAAATCTTTAAAAAAAAAAAAAAAAAAGAATATTCTTCTTAAGAAACATAATGCAGCAGGTAAGGTAAAAAAGTATCATGTCTGTAACAAGCCTGAAAATCGTTTAAGAGGGGCGCCTGGGTGGCTCAGTGGGTTAAGCCTCTGCTTTCAGCTCAGGTCATAATCTCAAGGTCCTGGGATCGAGCCCCGCGTCAGGCTCTCTGCTCAGAAGGGAGCCTGCTTACCCCTCTCTCTCTGCCTGCCTCTCTGCCTATGTGATCTCTCTCTGTCAAATAAATAGAATCTTAAAAAAAAAAAAAATTGTTCAAGAAACACACACACACACAAATGTGTGAAGGGTTTAAGGGAGTTCATTGTATGAACACTGCAACTTTTCCAAAGGTTTGAAATTGCTCAAAAATATGGGAAACTAGTGTTATGCACCTTCGTTTAGAAAAGTCAATTGTTCAGTTTCACTCTATTCTATGTCCTGAAATTATATGCTAATGGCACTGGAGAAGTGTGGAAAAGGCCTCTAATTCATCCCTCAAAAATCCAGTCTAATGAAATTGCTATGTAGCACCATTTCCTAGCAAAAAAGGTCTACTAAATCATGCCAACTGTTAACCTCAGCTTTTGAGGCTTAGTTCTCTCTGAACTGTATAATTCATTCTTAATTATGAGTGTTCATGCAAAACAATGAAACCCAGACATTTACAGAAACGCCTCCAATCCTCATTGCACACAGGACACCAGGGAATGATTAGAGGCACTCTAGAGAGGTGTGGAGGGCTGAGGAACAGAGAAGGGCAAAGAGGGGCACAGGATGTAATCACTCAGGGTTATGAATAGTTCTAACCTTTCATGTTTTGACATTGAAATTCCATGTTAAAAAAAACTATTACTTAAAAAAAAAATTCACAGAAACGCTTACCTTGTCCATCTTCTTTGAACACCAGCTCTCTTTTTTCAGATTCATTCTCATTCTTACCTCTGCGTCTATTTTTACCTCCTTTACCTGATGGTTTTAAAGAAAAAAAAAAAGATGTTAATTATCTGCACAACAGTATTAAAGAAATAAATGACTCAACATGCCTTTAAAAAATCATTTAAACTTAAAAATTCACCTAATGTGGTCACACACTCATATTAAGTTCACAATTTTCAGTCATATCAAACACATCACCTCCCTACTCTTCTTGGGAAATTCCTTTTGGGTTATTTCTCACATAAAATACCAACAAACTAAAAGAAAGTATTACATAGAATTATATAGATCCCTGAGAATATCTGTGTTCAATGATCGAAGTTTCTGGACCATAATGACCACTTGGTTGAGCACACTTCTCAGTGAACTGTCCTACAGTGGCCCACAAGGGCCAGGGTGGGAGATATATGGGTTACCAGTAAATTTCCAAGTAAATAAGCTCCCTCTTTTATTGGACCTCCCCATGAAAAGTCTGAGCTCAATCAAGTAGGATGACTTGGGGTGTGGGGTGGGGGTAAAGTTATAGCTCCTGGAATGGGATACACTGATTTTGTGGTGGAGGGAAAAACAACTCCAGCTGATTTGAGAGTTTTATCTTATACCTGTAAGAAAGATTCACTGAGCAAAGTATTTGAAGTTAAAAACACAAGGCACTAATTCCTGAACTTGGAAGCAACCAAGATGTCCTTCAGTAGGTGCATGAATAAACTGTGGCTTGACACAGGAGAGTATATTATTCAGCAATAAAAAGAAATGAGCTACTGAGTTCCTGAAAAACACTAAAGAATCTTAAATGCAAACTGTTTAGGGAAAGAAGGAACCTATAAAGGCTGAATAGTATGACTCCAACCATACAACATTTTGGAAAAGGCAAAACTATAGAGATAGTATAAAAAAAAAAAATCAGTAGCTGCCATGAGTTGGGGAGGAGAGGGCAAATGAATATGTAGAACACAGAGGATTTTCAGGGCAGTTATATTATTATTCTGTAGGATACTGTAATGGTGGATACATGTCATTATACATTTGTCAAAACCCACACAATGTACGCATGAAGAATGAACCTTAAGTAACCTATGGACTTGTTAGTAATAATGTATCTATACTGGCTCATGTAAGATGTTAACAACATGCTGGGGTAATAAGAGAATTCTAGTTTCTACTCATTTCCCTACAAATGTAACTAATCTAAAAAACAAAGTCCAGGGGCGCCTGGGTGGCTCAGTGAGTTAGTACGCCTTAGGCTGTCTTGATCTCCAGGTCCTGGGATAGAGCCCCACAGTGGGCCCCCTGACCCAGCTCATGCACGCTCTCTTCAAATTAATAAAATCTTAAAAAATAAAAAATAGGGGTGCCTGGGTGGCTCTGCCTTCGGCTCGGGTCATGGTCTCAGGGTCCTGGGATTGAGCCCTGCATTGGGCTCTCTGCTCAGCGGGAGCCTGCTCTCCCCTCCCCCCCGCCTGCTTCTCCGCCTACTTGTGATCTCCGTCTGTCAAATAAATAAATAAAATCTTTAAAAAAAATAAATAAATGAATAAAATAATAAAATTTAAAAAATTAAAAATTAAAACAAATAAAATCCATTAAAAAAAACGAACAATAAAAAGCAGCTACCCTACAACCCAGCAATCGCACTATTGGGTATCTACCCCGAAGACACACAGACACAGGAATACTATGCTGCCATCAAAAAGGGAAATCTTGCCATTTGCAACAATGTGGATGGAACTAGAGGGTATTATGCTAAATGAAATAAGCCAATCAGAGAAAGACAATCATCATATGATCTCACTGATATGTGGAATTTGAAAAACAAGGCAGAGGAGCATAGGGAAAGAGAGGAAAAAAATGAAACAAGACAAAACCAGAGAGGGAAACAAATCATAAGAGGCTCTCAATCTCAGGAAACAAACTAAGGGCTGCTAGAGAGGAGGGGGGTAAGGGGGATGGGGTGACTGGGCAATGGACACTGCGGAGGGTATGTGTTGTGTTGAGTGCTGGGTGTTGTGTAAGGCTGATCAATCACTGACCTCTACCTCTGAAAGCAGCAATACATAATATGTTAACAATAATAATAAATAGTGGGATGCAGGAAAAAAAACAATAAAAAGCAATGTGCAAACCAGATGCAATCAGCAAAATCTTGACTGTGGGGGTGATTCAACAAGACAATTTGTTTTCTTCAATAGATACACTATGAGGGGGCAAAAGACCAGATGGATGGGGAACTTAGAGATTTCTTTTTTTTTTTTTTTTTTTTTTAAGATTACTTATTTGGAAGAGAAAGCATGAGAGAGAGAATGAACACAAGCAGGGGTGGGGACAGAGGGAGAGGGAGAAGCAGGCTCCCCACTGAGCAGGGAGACTGATGCGGGACTCAATCCCAGGACCCTGGGATCATGACCTGTGTTGAAGGCAGACACTTAACCAACTGGGCCACGGCGGCACCCTACAGATTTCTTAAAAGAGACTTAAAAGATTTGTCAACCAGTGGCAATGTGTAGACCAAATCTGTTTGTTTTTTTGTTTTTTCTTTTTCAAAGACTCTGCTGAGCAGAGAGCTTAATGTGGGGCTCAATCCCAGGAGTCTGGGATCATGACCTGAGCCTAACTGACTAAGCCACTCAGGTAGGTGCCCCCCAAATCTGGATTCTGGTTTGGTGTGGATGGTGGTCAAGTTTAGATGTGAAGTGATTGTGTCTGGGGCCAGAAAGCGAGTACCTAAAGGTTCCTTATATAGTCTACTTTTGTATTTATTTAAAATTCTTTATGTACATTTAGAAATGAATACAGCAAGGTGAGTAAGGGTATGAAGCTATCACCGGTGTAAAAAAGAAAAATGAAGGGGTACCCAGGTGGCTCTTAAGAGTCTGACTTTTGATTTCAACTCAGGTCATGATCTCAGGGTCCGGACATTGAGCAGTCCTGTGTCAGCAGCGTGAAGCCTGCTTAAGAGTCTCCCCCTCGGCCCCACCCCACCCCTGCTTTTCTGCCTATTCTCTCTCAAAAGAAAGAAAGCTGCATATTCACATTTGTTTATATATACATAAAATACCTCTGGAAAGGCATATACAAAAAAGTTAACAATGACTGCTTGTGAGAAGGAGAACTGGTTTACAATGGGACATGTTTAGGAAAGAGATTTCACTTTTCATACTTTTTGAAATTTGAATTGTAAATACTGTCCAAAAAAAATATATACTTCAACAAAAATCTTACCATGCAACAGACCTAGACTAGCCATGAAGAAAAGAGATAAACAGGAGGAATATTTCTGAGATGGAAACGAGAATTATGACCAGATGTAGAGGGAGGGAGAAGGATAAAAGGAACTTTCACAAAAACCTCCCAGGATCTCAGTTACAGACTATGTAAAATGAAGGAGTTAAAACAGTAGATCCAAATACCTCTACATTCCTTCTACCATTTAGGATTCTAGAATTTGATCTACTGGTGTCCTTAAAAAACAAATTCTCCACCTCCCCTTGTTTTTCACTTTAAATGACTCTAATGATCATTTCCCAACTCCTGTTTTTCTGACTTTTCTTTAAAGATTTTATTTGAGAGAGAGAGAGAGAGAGAATGAGCGAGTGAGAGCATGAGAGGAGAGAGGACAGTGGGAGAAGCAGACTCCCCACCGAGCAGGGAGCCCAATGCGGGGCTCCATCCCGGGGCTCCAGGATCATGACCTGAGCAGAAGGCAGTCAGTTAACCAACTGAGCCATCCAGGTGCCCCTTTTTTCTTATTTTTAAAGGGCCACTTGCACTATTCTTGACTTTTACCAGCCAACCCCCTCCCCATTATGCCTGTTCCTCTGGAGCGTCATTAATTCCAAATTCCCACCTTCTGTTAACCCACTTTCTAAGGAAATTAATTTTTCTCTCACCTATCCCTTCTAAGCTAGTAGTCTTACATCTAAGCCCACTATTTCAACCAAACAAGGGTCTCCTATTTCTAATGGCTCCAGTGAATACTGTCCTCTGTCCTCTCAAGCTCAATTTTATTCAAAACTTTTTTTTTTTTTTTTAACAAAGTTGGTCCTAAATCAACACCCTTGTTTCTGTTAGCGGCAACATAACCGCTTTAAAGAATATATCTCTCTCATCCTATGAACACACAATCTACCTTCCGCTATCTGATGCTTTAATCCAAGGAGACTTCTCACTGTCCCAGTAACTCACCCTTAACAAGCCTATGCCTATGAGATAGGTACTATTTTGTCTTCATTTCCCAAGAGATAATAGTCTTTGAAAGGTTAAGTGACTTATCCAAGGCTATATCATAAAACGTGAGATCTGGGATTTGAAGTGAGCAGTAAGACACCACCCCAGTTCACTATACTCTTAGCCACTATGCAATAAAGCCACCCATTTACTTGTCACAGTCACCCTATGAAGTAATAGGTCATTTATCCCCAGGTTACCAGGGAGTTCACTGAAGCTCAGAGAATTAACTAACTTACTTTACATATTTCAGTGTGCGGGGGTGAACAGATTCAAACCTAATCTTTGTTGTTGTTGTTGTTCATGGCCCTCACATTAGGGTATCTCTCTACAGCGTTCTGTTCCCATTCCAGAACCTAAAACCACACTGGTGCCCGTTTTCAAAATGTGGAAGGCTGTAAGTGATAGTGATATTAAAGAACTCATGGGAAGAACCTGGAAGCAGCAAAAGGTTCAAAGCCCAAACAGAATAAAGAGTGTGCACCAGGCCACTGCAAAGTCAGACACATAACTTCTAGAATCAAGTACATCTTATCTGTCCTGGGGGCAGTCTCACAATGTTCTGTACTATTGTCAGATGGGCCTCTATAATTTCCTGACCCACACAGAAGTCCTTAGAGTTCAGTAAGTGAGGCATTCCTAGGGGACACCAAAACGAATTTCCCAGAGAAAGTATTTCTGCTCCATGCCATTCATGCCAGATCTTCAAACCAGAGTGAAAGTTCCATTAGGGCAAGGATCCTACCAACTTTATTTACTGAGTTATATAGCTGACTTGGGCAATCTTTGAATCAATCAAGAGTAGTCCATACATTCCCAAAGGAGTGGCAATTTTAAAAGTAAAGGCAGTAATTTCCTCTTAAGTGTGGGAGCACCTTACCCCAGTCTTCTTGAGTTGACCAAAAGATACTCTTTTTCCTGAGGTAATAAGCTAAAAATATCTAGAGGATTCCAGAGGACATACGCTGGTAAGAATCAGTCCAAAGCAAAAGTCATTCAACGCACAGTTTGTGGCAATTTATATCTTTGTGAAACCATCACTAAAATTATATTCACAGGGCTTCTGGCTTTTCCAATGAAGAAAAACAACAAACATGAATTTAATTCTACATTAGTAAACCTCATCTCGTAAAATCCAGGGGTCATGGAAAGCACTAACATAACAGATTGATTTTACAAGTACTGAAATGATAACCGACAAATTCAGAATGATGACTACCTCCAAAAACAGAGGAAGACACGGGAAAGGGGATTGAAGAGGGGGGCACAAAGGGCTTTAGATGATTCTGTGTTTTAATTTTCAAGTTCAGAGTGATAGACTCCCAGGTGTTCATTGTATTATCTATATTTTTTGTATGCTTCAAATATTATTTATAGAAGAACGATTCACTGCTTGCCAATTTACCAGAATTAACCATGCCCTTATCACTCCTCTCTCTGTTTTACTGCCATGTCAGGGGAATAGAACCTTAAGAGAGGCTAGTGAACTAGATGTGATTTAACATAGAAGTCCTGTTTCCTGGAAACCAAAGGGTACCTATTATTCATCTGAGAGTGGAGTCAACCAAAAGGAAGATGACTTAATCCAACAAATATTTATTGAGCATCTACTAAGTGTCAAATGCTAGTAATTCAATGTGATTAAGACAGATAGCATTATTGCCCATTAGAGCTTAGAGTTTAGTGAGGGAATTGGAAATTTCATCACTAGAAATAAAGGTGAGAATAAGATACTTAGGAATAAAGGATTGGACAGGTTACAAGAAAACTTTTAGAACTCTGTTTTACCCAGAATAATCAGCAATAAAATGCTACAAAAAGGACCGGCAAGTTAGATTTCTGAGGACAGGGGAATGCCCTAAGGGAACGGCACCAAATCTTGCAAAGAACCTCAACCAAGTACCCCACCGGATAAAATGAGTAGTGACAGCTACAAAGAGAACAGAAGTAAGCCTGGATTAGGGCAGGGGTCTCAAGGATGAATAACCAAACGAAACTTCCTGTGGGTTGTGTAATATGCTCCTCTCCTGAAGGAAATACAATGTTTCCCTGTTTCTATTGACACAATTACCTTGAAAAATATTTATAAAGATACAATTTCCTTGAGAGATTATAAAAATACTTAAAAGATAGAAATCCCCTTAAGTGTAAAAAAGGGTAATTACTTTAGAACTCCTCTGCTTTCAGGTAAATTAGACTTTCCATTTTGGAAATTCCAAATAAATTTATCTCCGAGACGAAGAATTTGTGGACTTTGAGCCTCAAAATGGAGGGAACTTAAAAAAATTAAAAGGTCTTTACTCCCACCACTTACATACAAGATATGAGGCAAAAGTAGAAAACTTGGGAAAATATGAAACAAGTGTTCCATAAAAAAAAAAAAAGTTAAATCCCGTAAAGGATGGGAAAGAGTAAATCTAGAAATGAACCTTAAATAAGTAAATATACATCAAGGTTTCGTCCACTGTTCACAAGGGAGAGGGAGCAGTCTCAACAATACTCAACAACTGTCCATGAAGAAACCCATACAGGAGTACCTGGTCACTAAAGCAGGCATTACCTTTTTCAAGTTAAGAACTGCTTTCAGGGCTTAACTCTTTGCCCAGGAAGCCAAAGGCACTCATTTGCGAAACCCGGGCCGCCTCAAGAGGGTCTCCCCCACAGGTCCATAACGCGCCGCGGTCAGTCTGGCGCGAATCGGGAGCAAAAGCCCACATTCTCCCGCAGGAGGCCCTACAAAAATGGCGTCGGCTCCACCCCAATGTGACCAAACTGGAAGACAGTACTAACTTCCCAGCTCCTCTCCCAAGCCCCAAACCGCGAGCGTATCCTGCAGCCGTGTGCGGGCACAGCGGAATGGAAGGTCACTGCGGCCTGGGTAACCCGGAGGCCGCGGGCAGGGCCGGAGAGACCCGATCGAGCGGAGTCGTGGTCCCGGAGTCCGGGCAGCATTACCTTTATTCTTGGGCATGGCGGTGACGGAAGCCTCCCGGCGTTTCCGACTCCTATCCTGGGGGTGGTGGTGGCGGCGGCGGCAGCGGCGACTCCTCCGAGGGGCCCCAGGGGCGACGCGTGGCACCGCGCGGTACCAAGTAGGCAAAAGAGGCCGGGTCGCGTGCGCGGGAGAGTCTCGCGACCGAGTTCTTCCGAGATCGGCCGGCGCTCACGTTCAGCCGCAGCAAATGGCGTCGCCGCTGCTTGCGTCTCTTTTCCCCGCCTCCGGACGGCGGCTGGCCCGCCCACCCCTCCCGGGCCCTACGGCGCAGGCGTGGGCGACTAACACCCGCCCCCTCCCCCCGCCCTCCATTGTTAGAGCGATGGTGACGCGCTTTTGAAGCGTTCACAGTAGTTTGCTGGAACGGGCGGGGGATGGGACCGTGAGCCAGGAGGAGCAGGAGTCAGGGGAGTGGGCGGGGCCTAGGCGTCACAATTAAGGACGGATTCAGGTGGCGCCCGCTGCTGGCTGACATCAGACCTCTCTGCTGCTTTTTGACAAGCCGCGTCTTGGGGTTTGCGCTGCTGCTGACTCATTAATCTCACAGCTCGTTTTAACTAGGCCCTTTCACCCGCCCGACGTGGTCGGGAGACTGAGCAGAAAGGCAAGGCTCTCCGGTGATCTCCATTTACCAAGGCATAATATTTGCATGACATTTGTTTTTTCTTTATAATAAAGGCTACATCTGTTGCTTGCTATTACCATCAGTTAGCAGAATGTCTCACACATAGTAGATGCTCAGTATATACACCAGGAGGGAAGGAGGGGAAAAGACATAAACTCGGTGTTATGGGCTGAACTGTGCCCTCCCAAAATTCATACATTGAATTCTTGACCCCTAACATCTAAGAATGTGACTGTATTTAGAAATAGGGTCTTTAGGGGCACCTTTGGCGCAAGTCTTGATCCCACGGTCTGGGATGGAGCCCTGCTTAGGGCTCCCTGCTCAGCTGGGAGTCTGCTTCTCTCTCTCCCCGACCCCTCGCATGTGCTCGCTCGCTCTCTCAAATAAATAAAAAAGTCCTTTAAGAATGAAAACAAAGGGGGCGCCTGGGTGCCTCAGTGGTTAAAGCCTCTGCCTTCGGCTCAGGTCATGATCCCAGAGTCCTGGAATCGAGTCCCACATCCGGCTCTCTGCTCAGCGGGGAGCCTGCCTCCTCCTCCTCTCTCTCTCTGCCTGCCTCTCTGCCTACTTGTGATCTGCCTGTCAAATAAATAAAAATCTTAAAAAAAATGAAAAAAAAAGTAGGGCCTTTAGAAGTAATTAAGTTGAAAAGAGTTCATTATGGTGGGCCGGAATGCAATATTGACTGGTGTCTTTACAAGAAGAGGAAGAGGAGGTTAAGATGCAGACACAGAGGGGAACACCGTGTGAACAAGGTGTCAGCCTTTACAAGCCAAAGAGAGAATCCATACAAGAACCCAACACTGCAGACCTCTTGATCTCAGACTTACCGCCTCTGACACTGTGAGAAAATAAATTTTTTTTTATTTATTTATTTGACAGAGAGAGATCACAAGTAGATGGAGAGGCAGGCAGAGAGAGAGAGAGAGAGGGAAGCAGGCTCCCCGCCAAGCAGAGAGCCCGATGCGGGGCTCGATCCCAGGACCCTGAGATCATGACCTGAGCCGAAGGCAGCGGCCTAACCCACTGAGCCACCCAGGTGCCCCGAGAAAATAAATTTTTACTGTTTAAGCCACTCAGTTTCTGGTATTTTGTTATAGCAATCCCAGTCAACTTATACAGCAGACTATACAGGACATACAGCTTCACTTTTAAGTAAACTTTAGTTTTTGTTTTTTTTTTTTAGATTTTATTTATTTATTTGAGAGAGAGCATAAACAGGAGGAGCAGCAGGCAGAGGGAAAGGAAGAAGCAAGCAGGCTTCCCACTGAGCAGGGAGCCCGATGCAGGGCTCCATCCCAGGACCCCAAGATCATGACCTGAGCCGAAGACACGCTTAACCGACTGAGCTGCCCATGTGCCCCAGTAAACTTATTTTAAATAAATCACTTTTCTGAAAATATTAGGGTGTAAGCATTATCTTTCCAAGGAAATGGACATACCTAAGTGGCAGAGAAATAAAGTGCTATTGTTGAAAATAGTGGTTTTATACCAGAGACATCTGACAGTCTCTGGAGATATTTCTAATTGTCACAACTGGGAAGGAAGGATGCTGCTGCTGGCACCTAGTAGACAGAGGCCAGGGATGCTGGTAAACATTGTACAGGGCACAGTACAAACCCACCCACCCACAAACAAAGCATCATCCAGACCAAAACACTAAAATAGCTGAGGATGAGAAACCAATGACAGGCATTTCTTAGAGACTGAAAGATGATGAGGACTTAAAGTTCTGGGTTTCTTTTTCCATTTGCAATAACTTGTAATATTCACAATTGAGGATGAAGGACATCTATGAAATTTATTTAAATTTTGCTTGAGGCCAAATGATTATGAACTTGGGACTTAAGTCAGAGAGAGCTGGGCTCAAATTCAGCTCTGCAGCAACTTATCACTCTATAACTATGGACAAATTACTTAACCTATTTATAAGTCTCAGTTACCTCAGCTATAAATTGGGTATAGGAATAATACATATCATATTGGGTTATTGTGGGAATTAAATCGATATAATACATTTATTGTTTAGCAGTTGTGCCTAGCACCTGGCAAGTCAGACTCCAAGTGTCTGAAGTTCAAATATTTAAAAACCAAAAGTCTCTGCCAATTACTCAGTATAAAACCCCAAAGGAAAAAAAAAATCAGGCTTCATTTGTCTATCATAGGATGGTTCTCACATTTGACTGACCATCAGAATCATTTGGAGAGAGGTGAGTCATGGGGACATCTGAGGGAAATGACTACTGGGCAGAGCATAAAGACCTGGAGCAGGAGCATGCTTAGAATGATGTGAAATGTTGGGGTTCAGGAATGAGTGGTCAAGGAAAAATTCTTGAGATGTCTTCAGTGCAAAAAGGGCGATTTTATTAAAGCATGGGAACAGCACCTGTGGGCAGAAAGAGCTGCACTGGGGTTGTGAGGAATGGCTAATTATATAATTTCAAGTTGGGAGGGGGTTCAAGATAGCGTTAAGTCAGCAAGGTTTCCAGGACCTTGATGGGCTAGCTGTTGTTAGGAAAAGGTCATTTACCACTATCTAGTAAAACCTTAGTCATGAGACCCTTTAAAAGTATATCAGTGATGGGGCGCCTGGGTGGCTCAGTGGGTTAAAGCCTCTGCCTTCGGCTCAGGTCATGGTCCCAGTGTCCTGGGATCGAGCCCCGCATCGGGCTCTCTGCTCAGCAGGGAGCCTGCCTCCTCCTCTCTCTCTCTGCCTGCCTCTCTGCCTACTTGTGATCTCTGTCTGTCAAATAAATAAATAAAATCTTTAAAAAAAAAAAAAAAGTATATCAGTGGGCCATATGTTGGGAGGATGATTGCTAACATATATCTTGGTGGGGATGGGTAGAGAAAAGGAAGTTTCCAAAGGGATTTTTGGAAGGATCTTGGAGGTCTGGTTAATGTCAAGCTAAGGCTGTCTTTTGCCTTTAGCAAAGCATTCACATTGAGGTAGTTAAGTTCCTGAGGGACGATCACTCTACCTGTCTCAAGTATGTGTCAGTTGGCTGTTAAGTTATTTTTAAATTTTTTTTTAATATTTCAATTTTATATTTGTTCTACTGGTTTTAACCATGTGCTCAAAATTTCTTATGCAGTATTGGATTTACTTTTTTTTTAACATCTTAATTTTACTTTTCAGTGTTCCAAGATTCATTGTTTATGCACCACACCCAGTGCTCCATGCAATACATGCCCTCCTTAATGCCCACCACCAGGCTCACCCATCCCCCCCACCCCCCTCCCTTCCAAAACCTTCAGTTTGTTTCTCAGAGTCCACAGTCTCTCATGCTTTGTCCCCCACTCCGATTTCCCCCAATTCACTTTTCCTTTCCTTCTCCTGATGTCCTCCATGTTATTTGTTATGCCCCACAAGTAAGTGAAACCGTATGATAATTGACTCTCTCTGCTTGACTATTTCACTCAGCATATTCTCCTCTAGTCCCGTCCATGTTGATAAAAAAGCTGGGTATTCATCCTTTCTGACGGCTGAGTAATATTCCATTGTATATATGGATCACATCTTCTTTACCCATTCGTCTGTTGAAGGGCATCTTGGCTCTTTCCCCAGTTTCATGATTTATTTTCTTGAGTGCCTCTAACTCTCTCTGTATATTCTGTTCTCCACCCTTCCTTCCCCTTTTAGGTTGCAGCATAATCATTGTTTTCTTAGAAGGCCTACCCTGCCCTGACCCTTAGGCAACTCTGCTATATATTCCTATAGCATCCTGCACTTCCTTTACCTAATTTTGCTAAAGTCAATCAATTCTATCAATTTAGGGTGGATTAACAAAATTCAGTATCTGGATCTTCAAAGCTGCAGAAGAGTGATCATGGCAAAAATTGCTCCTTCATGTTGGCTTGTCTGAGGAGCCAGATGTTTTTCTAGATAACCATGGTAGGCTGGCTAATGGACCCCAAAAATGTTCATGTCCTAATCCCTGGACCCTGTGAATATATTATCCTATGTGGCAGAAAGAATTAAGATTGCAGATGCAATTAATGTTGCTAGTTAGTTAACCTAGAGATGTGGAAAGTTTCCTGGATTACCTGAGTGGGCCAATCACATGAGTCTTTAAGAGTGGAAGAAAAGGTCGAAGAGAGGAGTCAGATTCGTGTGACAAGGACTCTACCCACCATTGCTAGTTTTGAAGATGGAAGAGGGTGGCCATGACCCAAGGAATGCAGCTAGCCTTCAGAAACTGGAAAAGGCAAGGAAACAATTCTCTCCTAGCACTTTCAGAAAGGAATTCAGCCTGTCCAACACCTTGGTCTTAGTCCAGTGAGACCCATATTGGGTCTTCTTCTTCTCACCTACAGAACTGTGAGAATAAATCTGTGTTGTTCTGAACTGCCAAGTTTGTGGTGATTTGTTACAGCAGCAGCAAACAAGCACAGTAACAGTCCTATGTTGCCTCTGTATAATACCAAGTAGACCTTGAAGCTCTCCATCTTAACCTGAATAGCCAAATTAAACCATGTGGATAGTCCCCAAACTGTTTTGGCCTGAATTGTAGTTAAGACAAAGCTGTTAAGGGTGAGACCCTAATGCAATATGACTTGTATCCCTGTAAGAGGAAGAGACAGAAGGGGCAGAATGACTACTTGAAGAGGCAGCAAGAGGGTGGTCATCTGCAAGTCAAGGGAAGAGGCCTCAGAAGAACCCAACCCTAATTGACTTCCAGACTCCAGAAGTATGAGAAAATAAGTTTGTTGTTGAAGCCACCCAGTCTGTGGTATTTTGTTATGGCAGCCTGAAATGATGAATAAATACACCATCATAATATAAAATTACTAAGAATGTCAATAGGAAAGGTAAGGGCTAACTGTAGGCCTATAACCCATTCCCTCTCTACCAGAAATCAATGACCTCAATCAAATTTCCTTAAATACGCAATGATATTAGCAGAAAGAAAACGAAAAGTTCTTATGTCTAAAATGCTTTTAGGGGCACCTGGGTGGCTCAGTGGGTTAAAGCCTCTGCCTTTATTTAGATCAGATCATGATCCCAGGGTCCTGGGATTGAGCCCCACATCGAGCCCCGCATCGGGCTCTCTGCTCAGCGGGGAGCCTGCTTCCCTTTCTCTCTGCCTGCCTCTCTACTTGTGATCTCTGCCGGTCAAATAAATAAATAAAATCTTAAAAAAAAATAAAATAAAACGCTTTTAGCAAGATACATTTTGTCTCTAGAGATGGCTTATTGTAAAACATGGAATTTATGGACTGATGAAGCATGGTTGGCTGGAGAATGGGGGTTCATCATTTGTGTAATCAATGAGGTATAAAAAGGGGAGGTTGCAAAACCAAATAACTTCCCTTGTTTAAGCAATGTTTCCAGATTGCTCAGAAGAAAACTGTCCTTTAATTCTGAGTCCAAAGTGTACAGTAATGAGGAAGAGAAAGGGTATTTTGGAGCTAAGTCTGATGATTTTGGACTTCTCGAAGAACAGATTATTTCACCTGTGCCTGGTGATCGCTCTGTATCCTTCGAATCATTAATCACATTTGGTATTGGGTTAAGATCTATGATTCATGTGCCTGATGGGACTCTCTTTGGGCTAACCAAGACTTTGCATACAAAAATTATCTTGCACTTCTTATTAACTCAGAAATGTTCTTGTTTTAAGTTCTATCAATCCGATTTGATAAATTTATACTTTGGAAAAAAAATTTATACTTTGGATAGAATTTGACATTATGAAGGATTATCATATAACTGAAATAACCTGATAAATGACATACATGCATTTATTTGAAACTTTATTATATAAATTTTCATTTCTTTTAAAGATTACAAAACCTGTTCTGTGACAGGAATACAAGCAATATTGTTCCAGGATTATTCATGGATACATCTGAAAGACCTTAGATTACGCATTAATAGTATGATTTGAAAACTTCCCAGATTAAACTCTTAAGTAAAACAATTTAAAGTATTCAGTGATAATTAATCCTTTACAAGCATTTCATAATTATGGCAGCAGTTCCAAGCATCTGATGTGATTTAACCACCAATAAAAGGTACAATACATAGGAACTCATGATATGGTAACTTGGGCTTCCAGCATGCCTTACTAGAGAGAAACTAGTATAAAGTAAGATCAGGTATAATAGTAGAAAAATATTTGTGATTTTTTTTTTCTTTTTTAAAAACTGTTTTAAGTAGTTGCCCACCCTATTCCCACCCAAGGCCAAAAATGCAAAATAATTACATCCCTTAGGTGTATACCTTCCCTTTTGCTTGGGTAAGAGTTAAGATAAACCTAATACATGTACATAATTTTAAGAATTAAAAACTCATCACCCATAATTATTAAGGATGCTAAGGAATGGCAATTAAAAAAAAAAGCTTTAGATGATAAACTAGATACACAAACCAAAACCTTTATCCTTAGGCCCTTGCTTTGTATTTAAAAGTTCTACTTTACATACTTGTTTGAAAAACTCAGTATACAGCTCATTCAGTACTATAGTGATACTAGGAGTAAAAATTTTCACTTTCATTAGATATTGAACTAATCTACTTAGACTATTACGGAGACTCTCCTCTCACATGTGTTTACACATATTGTACTCAAATGGTATGTGCTCTAGAAGAGGTTTTCTTGAGGTCTGCATCTCTGAACTTAAGTCTCTAAATTTTCCTTTTCACTAATCTCTATTCAATGTCATATACTTTGCTAGTTGCTCTGGGAGAAGTCATGGACATTTAAACAGCTTATCATGCACTTCAAGGTTATATGGCAAAATAATGAGGAAAGTGCCTTAAGAGGTAGGAAGTAGACTCTCATCCCAACCCTTGCTATGCCCTGTATGAACAGTTAAAAGACTATAATAAAGTGGTAAATGTGAGACTGATAGTAATACAAGGCTTAAGAAAATTAACTTGACTTCATTACTAGAATTGAGAACACTCAGTCACACTGGAACCAGTTACAAGTCACTTGACCACACAAAATACAGCAGTGTCAGAAGTACATAAAGCACACTGTAGATACAAATTCTTCTTGGCCATCCATATTTAGGTATTATCATTCTGTAGATTCTTCACTAGAAAAAGTGGTTAAGCGTGGCTCTGTAGAATACCACAGTCCCAAGAAAGCAAATTTCATTCCTTCTTTAATTGGTCTCCACCAATGGTCACTTGGGGAAACCAGCAAAATGTAAGCAATCTGGAGGCGAAAAGAGGACTATTTTCACTAATTGAAATATAAATAATGAGTTAAGTCAACTTATCTGTGAATTAAATAAAACTCAATGTATACATCTAGTGTGAGTCACATGGAGCTGGACCTTTCAGAAAGACAGAACTCTATGACTAGATTGGAACCCCTTGGTTTAAGCACCAAGGGTCAACCATGGAACCCATCATATTTCTTAAGCACAGAAAACAGACCTTTTCTAACTCTTTACATTCCTGAGATACCTGTCCTAATGCCTTCAAAAATCTCATAAATCCTCGATACCACCATGAGAATTTTATCTATAAAATACGGTAAAGCAAGCTGAGTATTTTTCAGTCATTTATAAAGGCCGGGAAGTAGAGACTATTAAAGCCATGTCGAGATATGTATTGCTGACCTCCATGGTGATTAAGTACATCTGTACAAAGGCTCCCAAATCTTGGATGTTTTTCTGCTCTCATCCCAGGCTGGACCCACCCCAGTCCCTTTCCAACCCAATCCATTCTCTTACTCATGAAGCCTTTGCACCCTTCTCCCTCTTCAAATCTTTCCTGGGCTGAGGGTGCAGGGCACAGCAAACAGGCCAGCCCCACCTCTCATAATGTCCCCACTTCTTAAAATTAGATGGGAAATGGTTGATCCAAATCCATACTTTGCAGCCTACCACAGTGAAATGTGAATCTCTACTGCATACACACCACACCCCCTCCAGACCCTAAGTGACTTTTCCCCACACATCAGCCTTGCAGCATCTTGATTCTGTGCCTTGTCAAAATATTACATTTTTGGACTTTTGGGGTTGCTTGTGAATAAATTAAAGTTAAAGGTCTACTGTACTTAGGAAAAAAGACATCTCTATAAATTAGGAGTTAAAATGACTTACATAAAAAATTAAAAGGACAAAAACTTACCTTAACATCATCACTTGAAAGGGAAGATACAAAACACGTGGTAGCGTAATCCATATTTTTCAGCATACGCTTGGAAAAGTTAAATGCAATCTACCATTCTAGATATTATTTTGGATTATAGGCTAAGAGGAAGTTTGTAAAAGTGGCCTGATGGTTTAGTTCCTTCTTTCACACTGAAATAATCTTTAAGACTAAACTAAAACCTTCTGGGAGAAGCCCTGGTAACTAGGAGAACTAACTGGTTAAGGGCCCAGAGGAACTGGACTCAGTAATTAATAGAAAAGTAAACCCAGGGCAAGCATTACATTTAGAGCTATCTGCTGTAAATCAAAGGCAATAGGAACACCAGGACCACAGATGAAATAAATCAAGCTCATGAACTGCATTTTAGGCAAAAGTCTTCAGTTTTGTGAACACATGACTTGCTTTTCTCCAATAAAACTGGCAGTTGAAGTAGGCGAAGAAGGCATTATCTTTGAAAGCAATAAACTTGCCATTCATCTACCAGTGGAGTAATGTCCCAAGAAATACTTTTTTTTTTTTTTTAACAACTCTGCTCCTGGTTGGGTGATAATATGAAGGGAAGGTAGCATGGTGTTATGAGGGGGAAAAAAACTGAGTAAGAAGTTAAGGATTCTAGTCTTTGTTTTGGGTCTTAGTTACTTTACATGCAATATGAGAATGTTGAACTAGATAATTTATAAGGATTTACACATTTACTTCTGGTTCTAAGACTACGATGGACAACACACCTAAGCACTTATGGAATAGCATTGGTATCCAAAATTTGAAAATGTCTTTTTTTTTTTTTTTTGGCCTAGAGTTACACTAACATTTTAAAAGCGACAAGATTTGGGATGGGTGTGGTTTGAAACACTGAATAGAGAGAGAGAGAAAGAAAGAAAAAAATTTCTTTCTGGGCAATGGGAAGCAGATTTTGATAGTCAGCATTTATATACTCAAGAATTTTAAAAAACTTTCTCCATCTAGATCTTCTGAATCCCTCTTACTGTACATTTTTTTAAATTTAGAAGATAAACTTACATTTGATTTCTATGCAATAATAATTTTGTGTCACTTAAGCAAAATGAATGTTACAGATTTTCCCTTTCTCTTTAGCTGTGTGGAGGAGAACTTAAAGTAATAGTAAGTGGCTTCTAAGACATTTAACTAAACTACACTTTCTTGGCTTTGTACTCTCAAAGAAAGATTTAAAGCTTTGGGCAGGTAAAAAGACTTCTGATGTAAATGGCTCAGTACATGGCTAAGAGATCTGTTGGGCACATTCTTGATGAGGTTAAGTTTAATCACTTTTCCTAGTTCATGTTTTTCATATTACATATTGATGTACGCTAGGCAGCTTAACCAAAATACAGGTAATAATGGATACAAAAGTTTCTTTAATCAAACAGAATTGTGGAAACTACCCAAATTAGATGTAGACAATGAATACTGTAACCTAAGCAGACCCAGTAACCACTATGAAAGCTGATCATTTCTGAAATTAAAGGAAGCATTATATGGCTATAAGTCATCAGAAGGAATTCAGAAAACACTCAATGGTGAACATTCACTTAGCCTACTTGAGCTATAATTTCAGGTGAGAACAAATACTGTTTGATCAAGAATGTTTTATTCCCTCGAATAAGAAAGTTTAAATCCAATTTCATAGAGAGGCTGGTGGCCTTTATTACATTCAAATTAGTGTTTAATATAGAGCATCGTAATGGGATAGAACTCATTATGATTTACCTTTTTTCCAAAAAGCATACTTTTCTTGCAGGTATACAAGAACAGGTATCCTGTCATTCATATGCTAAATTCTGCAATTTGATCTATTTAAACATGAGAGATCTAATGGGACTTGAATGACCTGTTGTTAAATTTTCCTTCACCAATCTCTTCACCAGAACTCTTAAAGGCCTTTGATGTATGTTGGCAAAATCCCAAATTATATGCCAAATACTAAATATGGATACTATTCAAGATCAAAAGTGCAAGAACTACCTCCTTAATTAAGGAAAAAAGAACCCTAAGGAGTTGCAACGTATATGGACTAACTTCATAGGTGTACTCTTGATGTCATGCCACACACACGTGATAACTTTCTCTACCATAACAGCTCTCTAGGTTAGTCTGACAAAGCACCTGACTTTAAGAAACAAACAAATGAACGAACCAGTGAAACAGACATGGGGAAATATATGTACATTTTGGAAGTATTACATTCAACAGCTGTTCCACAATCTGGCCATTTTTAGGGCTGTCCAACAATACTGTTAATCCAGGTGAACTATTTAACCAGATTTAATAGTCAATTGATTAATAATAATAGATTCCAAGTTAAACAAAGCATGTATACATTAAAGAAAGCAGTACAGAAATGTACTGTATATGAACTGTTTACAAAAACATACAAAATGTTGGATGGCACAAGGGATACAGTGCTAATAGAAACGGATTGTTTAAGCTAAGTGCTTAACATAAACTGTCCATCCCTATAACTAACAAAGAATATTTCAGGGACATGAAATATTTCCTATAAAAATAATGCTATATGGTGTAGAGTACTTTATTCAGTGTATTTTTAGGTGGTATTCGTATGTTCATTATTCTTGTTGATTCAGTGAATATGTCTTCATCATGTTTCCATTTTCATTTCATCCGAAGCTCCAGGAAAATCTAACTTGCTAACAATCATTTAAAGCGAGAAGAGACGGAAGCAGGAGCAGCAGGAGGAGCAGCAGCATTATGGGTACCAGCTGGGACAGTGTGTGCTTGCAGGTGTCTCTCAGATATGTGCTACCTGTCGCCAGAACTTGTGCTATCAACTTACACCATGGTACCAAATATCTCACTGAGGTCACTTCACAGAGCTGTGGAGGTGATTTTTTTAATACCTCTCCGCTGAGCAAGAGTAGAGCGGCCTACTGGTTCCAAAACTGGCGACTGATTACGGTTTAAAGCAGAATATGTAGCTGCCATAGCACCCTGAAAATAGGAAAGAGAGGTCACAACACAAATGACAATGGGTAGTCACAAGTACGTAGAATACAAAATACAGATATTCCCCCCCAGATAATTTCTTCACATGAAAATTTATATAGATTTAATTGGGCTTATAATGAAAATAACCATACTGGTCAAACCCTCTGATTTAACTAAAATTAAAGAGGCAGATATGGGAGGCTGAACTTACGGATGAGAAAGGACAGGGATGGGCTTATAACAAGCAGCCCTCACTTTACTTAGGACTATTCAACTTTTTGTTTCTTTGCAATTCTTTAATACCAGGGGCAGCAAAACATGCTCTTCTGGAACTTGTTTTGCCACTGCTGACAACCTCAAAGAATCTGCTCTGGGTTTTGCATAAGAAAGAAAAGTATAAACAAAAGTTAGGAAATCCATAAGCCTATGTGACAGATAAACTCAGAAGTCATTCTTAAACTGGTTTTATTATATTTTGGCATGCTTTGATTTTCTCTTTTCCAAACCGCTCGTTTTAAGAGAATATCACTTTAGAAATGGATGCAGGCTGAGCGAAAGGGAAAGGTGCTGTGGGCATGGACAGGGGAGCTCACAGTTTCCTGGAAGTCATGCAGAAAGCAGTGCCTGAATGGGGCAGCTCACCTTGACTAGATGGGGTGCATCCTGTCTGTTTAGTTGGTACTGTGGCAGCTGGTCCCAGTGGACGATCCAAGGATGTCTGAGCACAAGGGCAGCAGTCAGTCTCTGATGAGGATCCACATGAAGCATCTTTGACACCAGGTCCTGTAATGGGAAGAAGAGGAGTAATAAAACAAGTTTAAACTTTTGTTTGTTTTTCTAGAGCACTTGATACTGGTCAGCATTCTTCTTTAGCTTCTGTGACACTATTTTTTCCTGGTATCAAACCTTGGGGTTCAAAGCAATTTGGTCAATATAACAATTTCTTTCTTTCTTTTTTTTTTTTTAAGATTTACTTTAAAGAAAGCGACAGAGAGGGTGCCTGGGTGGCTCAGTGGGTTAAGCCTCTGCCTTTGACGCAGCTCATGATCTCGGGGTCCTGGGATTGAGCCCCACATCAGGCTCTCTGCTCAGCGGGGGGCCTGCTTTCATCTCTCTCTCTCTCTCTCTCTCTGTCAAATAAATAAATAAATAAACAAACAAATAAATAAATCTATCTTTATAAAAAAAGAAAGCGACAGAGAGAGAACAGAAGTGAGCATGAGCAGGGCAAGGGACAGTGGGAGAGGGAGAGGGAGAGAATCTCAAGCAGACTCCCCAACATGGGGCTGCATCCCATGACTCTGAGATCATGACCTGAGGTGAAATCAAGAGTTGGATGCTTAACTGACTGAGCCACCTCGGTGCCCCCAACACGGCAATTTCTTAAAAAAAAAAAAAAAAAAAAAAAAAGGGGGCAAAAAACCCAAGTCTCTGTTTTCTCCTTCCTGAGTAACAGTAACTTTGGTGCACTACAAAGAGTAAATTTACCACATTTATGTATCTTTGGGTACTTTGGCTCTTTTATTCACTGAGATATTCTGACTTTTCTATACTTTTGTAGTTTTATTTCCAAGTAATTTTCAGCTGAAGACTTTTTTGTGCTGCCGGTAATAATGAAAAGCAGAACATAACTGTCCAATAATAGGAATTTAATTGGAGAGCTCCAAATGCCCCCTCCAAAAGATTAGAGTTATTTTTTTTTAAGTAGGCTCCACGCCCAACGTGGGGTTTGAACTCACAACCCCAAGATCAAGAGTCACATGCTCCACCAACTGAGCCAGCCAGGTGCCCCAGATTAGAGTTATTTTTATTTTCCCCACTTCATGGGCATTACACAGGCATTACTTAAAAAAATAAAGAAATACAGAGAAGCAAAAGAACAAGAAGAACTCCCAGAATACCATTCTTCCAGAGAAAATGCCTTCTATCTATCCAAATGCTTTCCTATGCATGGAACACAGATCCATATAATTGCTATATAGTTTTATACTCTCCACAATAAGAACAGTTGTGACTTAAAAGAGCCATCTACCACTTGTTTAATTTTTCATTCAAAATATATCTATTTGAGTATCTATTAAAGGCCAAGTATTCTGCTAGACATTGGGTATTCAGCAGTGAACAAGATAGAAATGAACTCTGACCTCATGAAGCTTTCAGCCCAGTGAGGGAGAAACAAAGAATCAATTACAAAGCAAACAGTAAGTCTTTGATGGGATGAATAAGGAAGTATAGCTAGAGGAGCACAAAGAGACACCTGACCTGAATAGGATGGGGTGGCTTAGAAGTGACTTCTTTAGAGGAATGTGAGACCTGAAGGATGAGCTGTAGATAGATTATAGAGAAGGGGAGGAGGAAACAGAGCAATTCGGGGAGCTAGAGCGGAGTGTGATTAGAGGAAAGCCGTCAGGGATGAGAACGTGTCACAATTAAGGAACTGAAAGGAGTGCAGTGAGGCTGTAATAAAAACAAGTAGAACATGGCAGCAGATAAATGGGAAGGTGAGAAGGGACTAGACCATGAAGGCCCCTGTAAACTACATTAGCAAATCTGGTCTTTGTCTGGAGGTAAGAAATTATTTAAAGCAAGGGAATGACATAGTCAGGTTTGTACTTTAGAGAGCTTACCCTCACTAAGTGTGGAGGAAAATGGATTGGAGGGTGCAAGCCTGAAGACTCCAATTTGAGACTGGCAAGAGATGATGGCTTCAGGCTAGTGTAAGAGATGGCAAAATATGGATGGTCTGAGCTACTTAAGGGAAAGAAGCAACAGAACCTGGTGGCTGACTGGTACTGGGAACTGAAGAGATGTTATTCCAAGTACTCCTTTACTATTATTTAGTTTCTTATTTTTAGTTTTCATTAACAGCAAAGAACAGGAATAAGCTACTGAACAGAATTAGAAATAAAAAGTGAAACAATTAGGAACTCCCCTTCCAAATTCCTAAAGTGAGAAAATATGCTTCAAGTACAAAAAAAGTTGAAAAACTGCCCAGGCGCACAACAAAACTCTCTTCCTTCCATAAGTCTCATCACTCTGTTCAGATAAACTCATTCGTATTCATGGCTTTAGCTTCTACAGATGGTGACTCCTAACTCCACTGTCCACCCAAAACTTCACTCCTAATATCTGCATCAATACAGCCAGTTGCCTAATGGACATACATCTCTTACTTATACACCACAGTCGCATTTCAAATTCGTAATGTCCAAATCTGTAATTATCATGCCTCTCAAAACTACTTCTTTTGTATCCCGCATCTTGGTGAAAGAATACCACTACAACTCATTTGCCTATGGTGGCTATATGGACTACATGCTTACTATCTGCTTCCCCCTTGCTTCTTTTTTTCTTTAAAGATTTATTTATTTATTTAGAGACACACACACACACACACACACACACACACACACACACAGAATCTCAAACAGACTCCATGCTCAGCATGGAGCCCAGTGTGGGGCTTGATCTGACAACCCTGAGAGATCATGACCCAAGCCGAAACCAAGAGTCAGACGCTTAATCAACTGTGCCACTCAGGTGCCCCTCCCTTGCTTCTTATGTCCGTTTAACCACTGAGTCTATTTTGCCCCCTAAATTTCTCTTTAATTTAGCTCAAATCCTGCTACTCCTGCTCTAGTCTAGGTCTTCATCATTTGTGACCTGAAATACTGTAAAACCTTATAAGTAAAACCCTTAACATTAGGTCAGTGAGGACTGAATGAAATAATATAGGTATTAAGTGTTAGCATAGACCTTGGCACGTAAGTGCCCAGTGAATTGTAGTGATGGTCCTGTTCTTCTCAAAGCCACATATGAAACATATGGCCCATATGACTAATGACATTCACATGTGCAACTTGCTCTTGAGGGAACACATCAGACTGATAGAACCCTCACTTCCGACTGTGCATATTCACTGTACCATATAATGCTTATCTCAAGTCTTAACTGGACAAATTTGCAGAAGTTATCAGTAATAACGTGATATTTTTAAGAAAGGCTGTGAGTTAGATCCAATTTTTTGTGCTCTATTTTTTATCTCATCCTCACCTTTCTCTTTCATTCAAAAAAAACATACTGGAATCAAGTCAATGAGAGCCAAATTATCTAAATTAAAGCAAGACAAGGTCACCTCTATAATTTATTTTAAAAGGAGGCAATGGGTAAGCTCTGATTCTTTATACAGTGACATTATTTAATATGTCTCACAACTGATCATGACAATTTCTGGCAGACTACAGAGATAAGAATTACTGCTCTATAGAACAAACTTGAAAAAGGAAACTCTCATCATTACAACGCTTAATACTTTTCAGCAGTTCTCCAATACCTAGAATAAACCTGAAATCCTGAGCATAATCTGCAAAGCCTTTTATAATCTGGGTTCATCAGCTACCTTCTCACGTGTACCCCGTGCTAGTCACAACAAACTGTGCACAGCAACCTGGAAGCATTCTGCCATTTTCAGGCTGGCCTGACCACAAATAGCATGTGCTGCTCCCTCAGCCTGGGATGGAATACATCCTTCTGCTCCCTAAAGCTGCCAGGAAAATCCCCTCACTGCTTCTGGAAAGCTTTCTTGGAAATCTTTCTGACTGAGCACCATCTGTAAACTTCTTTAACACACAAAAATGTACCACTGTAACAGCACACGTGACACTGCGCTGTATACTTCTGGCCATCTCCCAACTAGACCAAGAGCTTCCTGAGATCAGGAATTCTATCTCAGTCACATCTTTGATCCCTGGACCTTCACATTTTAAGCATGCTGTAAGTGTTGAACACATGGATTAAAAAGAAATCCCAGAAAAAAAAATGAATCATCTGGTTTAAGAAATAATTGTTAAAAAAAGGGAAAGGCTAACACTTCATTTTAAATCAGTTATAAAGCCAAGTATCATCTATGCATACATTAAATTAGTTAACAAAGGCTTCATCTCTATGCCAAAAGAATCAACCTACATTTTTGACGTACCCTATTTACTTTTGCGATCATCTCAACTCAGGCTTCCACCTCTAACAGAAATCAGCAAGCACGTTTACCAGTATGTATCTTCTTTATCTCCTCCATGTTCTTCTTATTCGGAAGAGGAAACCTGCTCTTCTTTTTCTTTCTAATTTTCAAAATTTTCACTCTTGATTTTAAAAGAGCATTTTTCATGAATAAAGTAAAACTAGAGCAGAGTTGGAAAGCAAGTCTGCCAGAGTATGGCAGATCTTCCAGTGAAAAAGGCTTTTCAAATGGATTTCAAGCAGACACCTTAAAACCATACTACTGTTTATTATGAAAAAGATGAGACCCTTTTCTATATAATATGAGCCAAAAATAGAACATGGCGCAGTTATTCTAGGGAATAAGGGCTTTGGGACCAACTGCTTAGTTCAAAGCATCCACATGCTCCTGGTATGTAACTATGGACAAATTCACACAAAAATTCTAGCCTTGGTTTTCTTCTGTGAAATGGGGATACTACCACCTATTTTACAGGGTTTGGAAGAGGATTAAATGGGATGATTTAGGTGAGGTGCAGTGTGAGGCACAAAAAAGCCACAAAAATCATGAAGATTACCACCATTATCATCATTCTTCTTCTTCTTCTTCTTTTTAATTTTATTTATTTGTTAGAGTGAGAGAGAGAGAGCACAGTCAGGCAGAGTGGCAGGCAGAGGCAGAGGGAGAAGCAGGCTCCCCATGGAGCAAGAAGCCTGATGCAGGATTCAATCCCAGGATACTGGGATCATGACCTGAGCCGAAGGCAGCCGCTCAACCAACTGACCCACCTGGGCATCCCATCATTCTCCTTCTTATTACTATTATTTTGGTTAACAGGTTTATTATTTTTTTATTCCAAATTTTTATTTAAATTCTAGTTCACAACATACAGAGTAATATTGGTTTCAGGAGTAGAATTCAGCAATTCATCACTTACATTAATACCCAGTGCTCACTACAACAAGTGCACTCCTTAATACCCACCACCCATCGAGCCTATCCCCCACCCATCCCTCCATCAACCCTGAGTTTGTTCTCTATCATTAAGAGTCTCTTATATTGTGGAAAGAGCCGAGATGCCTTCAACAGGTGAATGAATAAAGAAGATGTGGTCCACATATACAGTGGAGTATTACTCAGCCATCAGAAAGGATGAATACTCAACTTTTCCATCAACATGGATGGAACTGGTGGAGATTATGCTAAGCGAAATAAGTCAGGCAGAGAAAGTCAATCATCATATGGTTTCACTTATTTGTGGAACATAAGGAATAGCATGGAGGACATTAGGAGAAGGAAGGGAAAAATGAAGGGGGGAAATCAGAGGGGGAGACGAAGCATGAGAGACTATGGACTCCAGGAAAGAAACTGAGGGTTTCAGAGGGGAGGGGGGTCGGGGATGGGTCAGCCTGGTGATAGGTACTAAGGAGGGCACGTATTAATGGAGGACTGGGTGTTATATGCAAACAACGAATCATGGAAAACTACATCAAAAACTAATGATGTACTGTACGGTAACTAACATAACAACAAAAAAAAGAGTCTCTTATACCACCATTATTATTCATCATGCTTGTCAGTAAGTAGTTTTAGATGTATAGATAATAAAGCCAAACCAATACCTTCTGGGAAACAAAATAATAGGTCCATTTTTGAGTTCAAGTTATTTGGTAACATCACTTCAAAATAATACTTTATAAACAAAAGTCTGTAACTGATTATTATTTTTTCTTACCAGGGATTATGAGAAATTATTTTCTAAGAAGCTTATAATAGGAAGCCATACTTACCTTTGCTGTGTCCGAAACAGAATTCCAGTAACCACCACTGAGTGAAAATTTTCCGCTGCCTATCCGTGCTAATATCTCCTCTGGTGTATCATCAGGGCCATTTGCAAATGGAGTGTAACTAATTTATAATGAAATTAAAATGTTAATGAATAAAATTTCTTTTTTGGTTGGTAATCTTCACATTTATTTGCAGTGTTCAAGAGTACTCCAGTTAATTTAATTAATGTAATATTTCATTAAAATTTCCTAAAGTGAAAAATATCAACATCATGAAGCACCATAAAGCACCAGGTCAAGGTATAAGCTATGAAATATTAATTAGACTTAATGTATGATAATATAAATATTTTAAGATATGACACATTAGAATAGACTATTTAAAAATAGTGTATGTTTATAACATAAGAGTACAAAAGAGGTATGGAAAAAATCAAGTTAAGACCTTAAGACATTAACAAATGGTACATTAAAGAAAGCCAGTAATGATACAGTTATAAATGTGGTACATATACATAGAGAGATATACACACACAGGATTATTAGATAACATGAGAAAACATGAAAAGAAAGATATTACAACAGAGAGATTAAAAAAATAGAACAGAATATTGATGAATATATGCTGATTACAACATATGGTCGACTCACCCAGTAAGCATTGTATAGAGGAGGACACCAAGACTCCATATATCACAAGCAGCATCATAGCCTTGTCGTTTTAAAACCTAAAAAAAGCAAAAATTAGTATTAACACACTACTGTTTAGAGAACTGAATAGGCTGTGAACTGTACTAGTTTCTAAATCAATGTATTTAAGAAAAACTCAACAGAACATGATTAACAAGCAAGGCAATATATTAATACTATTCTACAACTAATAATTCATTCATATATATATATGAATATATATTTACATACATATATATTTGATTTTGGTATTAGCATTCGTTGAGTGATGCTATGGCATATAGAAGACTATAAAATAAAATGAAATTAAGTTTTTCTCCCCACTGCTTCCCTCTAAGTTTCTTCTTTAAATGAATTTATATTCATTTTTGTATGAGGCTGCAGGAGTGGTTACATAAAACATTACTTTTAGGAATATATATAAAAGTACAAATAATATAATGCAAAATTATACTTTCACATATAAAAAATATGATTCACTCGAGCATTTAGTAATCACCAATTATTATCCGGCATGAAGCGTGATAAATACAAAACACTCTTGTTTCCTCAAGAAAATTAGAATACGGCAGGGGAAATAAACATACATATAGTTAATAATTCAACATGGTAAGTATTATAACAAAATTATGCCTAAAGTGTTATAGGTATAAAGATGAGGAAACCATTCATTCATTTTTTTTTTAAAAGATTTATTTATTTATTTTAGAATGAGAGGGAGAGCGAGAGCAAGAACGGGGTGGGGGGAGGGCGAGAGAATCTCAAGCAGACTGCCCGCTGAACATGGAGCCTGACGTGGGGCTTGATCCTATGACCTTGAGAAAATGACCTGAACTGAAGTCAACAGTCAGACGCTTAACCGACTGAGCTGCCCAGGTGTCCCCAAATAATTCATTTTTGATATGGGGAGAGAAGGAAGACTACAGGGCAGCCTGCTGGTACTGGGCCTATAAGTAAGAATTCAGGAAGCAAAGGGAGGAGGTGGAGGAGAGCAGGGGGCATTCAAAGGGCAGAGGCAAGAGAGCAGAGCATGCTTAAAGACAGGCAAGGATTCAGTGTGGCCAGATGTCCAGGTAGGGGATACCAGAGAGAATGAAGAAGGGCTTTTACAGATATCTTAAGGATTTAAAATGTTTTTCCTGTAGGCAGTCTGTGGTCATTGATACATTAAACAGGGAAATAAAATAGGTAGATATGTACACCAAAAGAGTAACTCCAGGTATAGAGGAAATGCTGGCAAGCAGACAGACTGGAAACAAGGTCGTCTGATAGGATGCAATTTGTAGCAAACTAAGTGAAAGGCTATGAGGAACCACACTAAGGCAGGACATGGAAAGGAAAAGATGTCATGATAAAACAGGAAGGACTTAGTAGAGATGGGATGTATGGGTAAGGGAAAGGGGGTCTAAACTATTCAGGAATCAGAATGGAAAGGGTTTGGTGACTGACAGGATGTAGAGAAATGATGGAGAAGGAGCATTTCAGGAGGACTTCCAAGTTTTAATTTGAATGACTAAGTGGTAAATCTCAGACAAAGAGTTAAAAGGTCAAGTCTAGGGAGAGTTTAATCATAGAAGATTTCCTGAAGAATATGAATTTAGAGGCTCTGAATCAAAAAAGGTCTTGAAGCAAAAAAATTTGAAACAAAAAACATTAGGTTTTGAAGCAAGAAACATTCCAACATGCCAAGGCAAAACAGCTACATGGTGATTTCCAGAAGCAGATTGCTTGTCTGAAGCAAGAAGTCCTCTTGAGGAATAATGAAATGGCTAGATGAAGTGACCATGCTTGGACATCAATATGTGTCAGAAGCTGTGGATATGTGGACAAAGAAGCAAAAAGTCTGTCCCTCATTAGTTCTAGTCCTACCAGGAGAACAGGTGCAAGTAGTCTTTTAAAACGTATTATTTTATATCTCAGAAGTAACAAGATTACAAAAAGTTTGGAAAATAGAGGGGCAATGGAGCTCTACAATCCAATGACATCCTAACCTTACCAACTGTTACCATTGTTTGGTGAAGTATCTAATGGTAAAAGCATAGACTTTGTAGCCATGTTGCCTGGGCTCAAATCTCAATCTGACCTCCAATGACATAACCTCTCATTGTGCACCTGGTTTCTTGTAAAATTCAAGTAAAAGGTCTCATTTCACATAAGAGAAAAAATTATTATATGTAAATGCTATTTGTGAGGATGAAATCAGCTAATACATGTGATTGGCACATAAGCCCTATATTAGAGTTAACTCTTACTTTTTATTACATAGTTCAGTCACATTTTTAAAAAAGATTTTATTTATTTATTTGACAGAGAGAGAGAGATAGCGAGAGGGAACACAAGCAAGGGGAAGTGGGAGAGGGAGAAGCAGGCTTCCCGCTGAGCAGGGAGCCCAATGTGGGACTCATCCAAGGACCGTGGGATCATGACCCAAGCAGAAGGCAGACACTTAACGACTGAGCCACCCAGGTGGCCCCACAATTACATTTTTTTTAAACACGGTGATAATAAACATGCATGAAATCTTGAGGGCAAAGCAGTGGACTTTAGATTTGCTACAATGGGGAACCAAAATTTCTTAGGAAAAGAAGCAACTTGATCAAAGCAGTGCTTAAAGACTTCAGTAACTTTACAGCTCTTCCGTAGAATGATCACAGGAGAGAGGGAGCAGGGTGCAGAGAGGCTGTGGCAGTCATTTGGGCTGTGGTGAAAGAAGCGGGGCTAGGATGGCAGTTCTGTGAAAGGAAGAACCTCGAACTGGTTTTAGGGGATAACAGAGATGGTACCTAGTTATGTAGCTAAAGACAAGAAGAGACCATGATGTTTTAGCCTCAGAAATACAGGAAGATGATAACAAAACCAGGAAATTAGAAGAATATTAGGAAAGGATGAGAATAAACTAGTTTCCATTTAATTCCATGTGCTCACAGGCCCCAAAGTGTCAATGATAGCAGACCGCTACAGATGTGTGATTATGTAGAAAGACAGAAGGCAGAGCAAAAAAAGGACTGTAGTGGACTAAGTAGTAGGGGACTGAAGACAAGATTTATTACCATCAGAAGAAAAAGAGCTGACATTTTAATTATTTGTTCAGTAGGTCTTCAATGAAACAACTATTAACCACTCTATATTAAACACAGCAGGGGTGCCTGGGTAGCTCAGTCATCAAGCCGTCTGTCTGCCTTTGGCTCAGGTCATGACCTCAGAGTCCTGGGATCGAGCCCCGCATCAGGCTCCCTGCTTGGTGGGAAGCCTGCTTCTCCCTCTCCCACTTCCCCTGCTTCTGTTCCCTCTCTTGCTGTGTCTCTTTCTGTCAAATAAATAAATAAAATCTTTAAAAAAGTAAATAAACACAGCAAATGAGTTTTTAAATATACTGAAATATTGGAAACAAATAATTCGCAATTACCTCTGGTGCAACAAAATTTGCAGTATAACAAGGAGTCATGAGAAGACCGTTTTCTGCTCTTAGCTGTTTGGCAAAGCCAAAATCACAAATTCGAATAGATTCTGGATTGCCAGATTCATCCACATAAAGAATGTTGCTAGGTTTCAAGTCTCTGTGAACCACCTAATTGAAATACAAATTAAAGAGGTACATTAACAATACATTTCCATTACGGAAAACTCTTTATTCGCAAAATGTCAAGTGACGTACTTAACAAGACGACTGCTGACCTTTAAATTATCTCATTTTAAAATGCTGATAATGTAAGTTTAACTCTCTAGCACAGAACTGGGGCAAGGACAGGAGGAAAAAAAAAACAGTATGTACGTCCCTCCTCTTTGTCCAATTGAGCAGTCAAAGCTAGAAGTCAAGAAACTCTAGGATGAAATGATTACATTCCACTTGTTAGCTTCTGAGAGCAAGGACAAAGTAAGAATAATGTATTGAAAATAAATTCCTTAAGAAGTAAGCTCTTAATTTCCTTTTATAATTGAATACAACCCATGATTCTTTGGTTCTGCGTCTAAATTTGCAATGGACCCAGTTCTCAAGAGTCCGGAGTGGCCTAGCAAAAACAGTGTTAGGTCTTCCAGGTCAGAGGACCTTGCTTACTTTTTCTTGGGAAGCATAAGAATTTAATATAAACAAGTCAGGATTTCGAAGTATCACTTCAAGCTCAGTGGGAGAAATTTATGTAGAGGAGTAATAGCAGAATAAGCTAGTAACAGTTATTCTCCATTAATGCATAAGTAACATCAACCTTTGTAATTTTAGTTCAAACATTAAGAAAAGGTTTAAAAAAAAGGAAAAGGTAAAGGTGTGTGTGTGTGTGTGTGTGTGTGTGTGTGTGTATACGCGTGTGTGTGTGTGTGTGTATAAAATGTTAAAAAGACTTACCCCTTGTGCGTGAAGATATTCAACAGTTTTGGTTATAGTAAACAGGACAGCACTGGCCTCTCTTTCAGAGAAAAACTTCTGTCTAAGAATTTTATCCAGCAATTCACCCCCTTTCATAAGTTCTGTCACTACATACACATATTTTCCATCATCATATACCTGTAAAATTCAACATCAAAATATAAAAAATTATTTGAAGCTTTACATGTGCTCAGAATAAAGTTTAGCATATTCAAGAGAAATTAAAACTCATTTTATAGTCAAGGAAAATTTTACTTATCACAACCAATAGATGGTATAAAATCTGCAAACCATTTTATACATATAAGAATATTAAAATACAAATTGATTAGACTGGATGTCAGAAAAATAAGCTGTAATTTCCTTCTATGAAACATAAGTCATGGCAATCAAAATTACTATGGACAACGTATATCAAAGGGCACTGAATTTTTTCTCTCAGGGTTTGTTTCTCTTGATCTTTCTATCTACTGATGACAGCAGGGATTGGTATAAAGACACATGCCTATAACTTTCCTGAACTCCTACAATTGTAGAACTGTATTTACATATGCAGTACAATGAATTATCCTGGTTTTGATTAAACTGAAAGACAAGTTGTGGCAAGAATTAAGTAGGAAGATTAAGTAGCAAAAATTCCATCTAACCACACAGAAGCATGCCATTTACTCCTCATGTAGAAATAGAAAGCTCCTTGTAATTTTGATTTGTACTCCAGGCAATCCCAAACTGAAATGACCCTTCATTAAACTTCAGTTCCTTTTATTCCCCTTCACCACAGGGTTACGGCACACTTTCATTTAGTTCTATAAGAGGTACCATGTGCTGGGGCCCCCCCAAAATGGAGAAAACAAGGTACCCCTCCTCAATGTTTTTATTCTAGTAGAGAGAAAGATAGAAACAAGGGTTAAAAAGTCAGAGATGCTATAATAAAAGTCGGGAAAATTTTAGAGACTTTGGAATTTGAAATGAAGGAAGGAGGAAAGATGTGAAAAACAGTGACAGCTTAGGGAGTTTGTAAGGCAAAGATGAAAATATTTTCTATACCTTCTTTTTGATTTACTTGGATTCTTGCAGGTTATATCAAAGAGTCACTTAAGTTACACAGCTTCACATTTAATGGGACTAAGCTAACATTCTCCTTCTAACAGTGAGCAGCAATAAATTAATCTGAGGAAATTAGGAGTTTTGGTTATGAAGAAGGGAGAGTAAACTCTGGAATTCACAAAATCTCAGAGATGAAAGGCAAAAGGTACCTTAAAAGTCCTCTGGCTGAGCTGGCCACAGGACATGTCAGGTCTACAACCCAGATGCAGCCTTTGGGCACTATCAGCGAGAGAAGATTTAATGCTATCCGGGTAGTTCACACCTTTTGCCAACAGCTCTGTTATGATAAAAACCACAGGTAGCAAGGAGGGGATACTTTACTTGTCTGGGGTATGGTGATGCTCAGGACAGGCTTCCTGGAGGAAGTAATGTTTTAGCAAAGTTTTAGATGCATGGTAGTAAGCCAGGCAAAGAAGGGAAGTGGTAGTATTAAATGAGGAAACCATAAATTCAAAGACAGAACAGCATGAGAAAAGGAGGAAAGTTTAAAGATGCGCACATAGTCGAGCATGGTTGGGGGATGGGGGGGGAGAGGAAGTGTGAAAACCACTGCAGACAGAGGAAGGCAAGGACTGGAGGTGAGGGGGTATGAACTGTAGGCAGAGGAGTAACGTGGTTACATACGAGTTTTGCTCTCTCTGACAGTACTGTGGAAGAGTCTGGGGAGTCCATGGAGCATGAGACTAGTCAATCCCTAATACTATTTAATACACAAATGTTCCAATAAAGATATTGAAAGCAATAATGTCAGTAACACTTTTCTTAAAGCGAAAGTATAAGAATTAACTACAGAAACAGGTTTTTTTTATTAACTTAAATTATGCTGTATATGTTGTCCTTCAATTTTTTTAAACTTACTCTTATTAAGTTATTTGTCTAACACATTATATTTGAAAACATTCCAAATGTGAGCTGGACAACTGATTCCAATGATCGAAGTTCAAGAAGCTACTACTTACATCCTTTAGAGTAATGATGTTTGGATGCTGTCCATAACGAAGAAGAATTTCAATTTCTTCTGTTGGGTCTCTCTTGCTTTTATCAATAATCTAAAAGGCAAATATTTATCATAAAATCTCATGAACTATTAAGGTCACAAATAGCTACAGACTTCAGGTATTATCTTATATAAATACTGGACATATGAGCCATTTATCAATCAGTTTTATTCAAGTACTTGGCCAGACTGCCTTATCAAAGTTTGAAAGCCAGTCTAAGTTTAGGACTTTCTAAACACTCAAAAGCCTCAAGAAGAGGTACCAAGAACATATCCTTCTTCCCTCCTTGAATGTCTTTAAACCCTGGAAAATCAGTCAACTTCTAAGCCCAATCAATACAGATAATTAAGAACAAGGTATATCTATAATACTACCACTTTTATTGAACTTTACTTCCTTTAAGAAAATGATTCAGTGGAATAACCCATTAGTTGTAAGCTACTTATAAAAAATTAATTAACAGCTAAGTAGAACAAGCTTATTTTTGAAGCTATGCAGAAAGCTAAGCAGAAAACCACACCTAGAATTTTACTTGACTAGAGTTAAGTTTAATTATTATAATAAAGCCCTTTAAAATACTAATGTAGCTTTCCAACCCTTTTATGTCAGCAGCTTCTTAAAAATATACCTCTTAATGTTTTAATCTGTTAAAGTAATATATCTATTTTTAAAAGGACAAGTTTGGCTTTCATTTTGTCCAAAGGGTAGTCTGAAACAAATTTTGTGACCTTTATATTTTCAATTTTAAAAAAGATTAGTAATTCATGTATGCAATAAATACTCAAATGCTCCAGCAGTTGAGGAAAGAGCTTGCAATTCACAGTACAAGCCAAATCTGCTATCTGAAATAGATTTAGTTGTAAAACAGTTCTGTATGAGAAGAGGGAATACAAACATTAGGTGTACACTGTAATCAAATGCAAATGACAGTGTGGAATTACCATAGCAAGTTGTGGACTACCATAGCAAATGGATGATTAAAAGGAAATGTATATGGAATAGACATCCTAATTCAAGGGAGATGATCCAGGACTAGTCTTTTGAAAACTAGAACACACTGGGAGGTGTTATTCCCAGCAACATTCTCTTTGATCTGCTAATCTGAGCAGAGGTGATGTCACATTCAGACTTGTGTTTGTAGATCTTAGATTTGTAGTAATTTTAGTAGAATGAAGTTGTGCTGGGATTGGTTTTATGAATTAAATTTAAGTCACAAGAATCCACAAATAGCTTGAAGATATTCTCAAGGTTTTGGTATACTGCCTCTGGTTTCTGTAATTCAAATGGGGCCTCAAGGCATTTCTGCTTTTCTTCTGATGCGTTTAGGAAGGCAAGATACCTCCTTAAACTGCCCATCATGTACATTACTCACCTTCTCTCCTTTCATATAAGCAATGTGAAAATTCCTATGTACCCCAGATTTCACTATGAGCAATGAGTAGGAGAAGAGCAAATTAACATGCATTTCTATGGTTCATCCTACATCTGATAGAAAGCCGGACACTGATAGTTTTTAAAACAATTACATCCAAGTTTAGAATAGTAATTACCATTTTTTATGTAGGTGTGTGTCTTCCCAGATATTAGCTATATATATATATATATAAAAAATACATTTATTTTTACACAGTGAAATCATATCAGATGATAGATGGATGTACGGAAATAATAACAATTAATGCCACTCTCCTACTAACTAAAAATGAGCTATCCACACTTATTGACCAGTTCTAAGGTCCAAAATAGGTTGAAAGATTTAGATATTACTTAAATTGCTTATACTGGGAGAGCAGTGACTACCATCTCAAGAAATGAAAAGGCAGAGACTTGAATATAGTATTTTTTCACTTACAACTACAGGTTTGTAACACAAACTTTATCACAGAGCCATGTGATTTGGTTTTTGGCTTAGAAAATTCTTACTGTCTTGACACCTGATGAAATTAAAACAGCTAATGATAACAAATTTTGTAACAGTAGTGGTTTACTTTTATTGGTTCACAGATCCCTTTATATGTAAAGGACAGTATGAATATTTTTGCCAGAAAAATGTGAACACTTAAAATTTGGCATACAATCTTGAGGAATTCCCTGACAGACCATAAATGGGGGACTTTTTAGGGTAAAGGGATGTTACTAAAAATCAGGTCAGATGTAAACTGTACTAATGCCTTCAGCAAACTGGAGGTATGCTACCTTGCCTTTAGTTTACAGGTGAATCTGTGGTTCCAGATTAAGACCCCTGAGGGTTGCTAGGCAGATACTTAAATTTACCTTACCTTTAAAGCAAAACACAACACAACACAACACAACAAAACAAAACAAAAAGGCATATTTACCAAAGAAGAAGTGTTTAATTTTAACTGGTACTGACATGTGTGAATAATAACTATTAGAATTGTATTTTATATTTTGATTTAATTTTTTTAAAAGATTTTATTTATTTATTTGACAGAGAGATAGATCACAAGTAGGCAGAGAGGCAGTCAGAGAGAGAGGAGGAAGCAGGCTCCCCGCCGAGCAGAGAGCCCAATGCGGGCCTCGATCCCAGGACTCTGGGACCACGACCTGAGCTGAAGGCAGAGGCTTTAACCCAGAGCCACCCAGGCGCCCTGATTTAATTTTTTAAAATAGGTTCCATGCTGGGCGTAGAGCCCAATGTGGGGTTTGAACTCATGAACCTGAGTTCAAGACCAGATCTGAAATCATGAGTCAGATGCACAACTGACTGAGCCACCCAGGCACCCCAGAGTCGCATTTTTAAATCTGAAAAGATTTACCTTCACTGCAAATTCCATGTTTGTAGCTTTATGTATGCATCTCTTGCAAACAGAGTAGGAGCCAACTCCAATATCTTCCTTTACTTCATATCCATCGGTAAACTGAATACTGTTTCTGTGCAACTGCTACAAACACAATTACAAATTGACAGTTTTATAATGACTACGGTATAAATCATTATAGGGGAATATGCTACCCATTATACATTGTTGATGTTAACAATAAATATAAATGAATATAAACAAAATAAAAATGAATCTTTACAGCATTTATTCTTCCACAACTGTGTATTTTTTAAAAAATATTTTATTTATTCATTTGACAGAGAGAGACACAGCAAGAGAGGGAACACAAGCAGGGGGAGTGCAAGAGTGAGAAGCAGGCCTCCCACTAAGCAGGGAGCCTAATTAGGGGCCCAATCCCAGGACCCTGGGATCATGAGCTGAGCCGAAGGCAGCCGCTTAACCGACTGAGCCACCCAGGCACCCCCACAACTCTGTATTTTAGAGGTGTCTACCATAAAATGTATAGCAAGAAATAGGCTTTTTTTAAAGCTCATGTTAAAAAGAAAAAATTGAATATGTACAACAGAAAATTAGTTACTTGACAAAGGGTGGAAAGTCTTGCCTGTGCCTGAGCCCTGTTCCATCCCCCACATGGTGCTAGGTCTTTGAAGTACTTTTGCAAATAGGGAGAAGTTTGAAGCTTCTGGTACAGAAGAAAAATATTTAGGAGGATTTAGAATTAGAACATCTGGATTCTTGTCTCAGAGGTCCCTCTGGCAGACCGTGCAACCCTGAACATGTGTTTTCTCAGAGGTTAATGGTGAATATTAAATAAAAATAATGTATTTGAAGGTGATACCTATTATCATCATTGTGGACTACCAGTAGCCATGCCCTCCGTTTCCACCCTCAAGTCAAAGTTTCAATACAACTTCTGCTAGAGAAGCTGTTAATGAGTTAAAGACGAATAACACGTGGTAGGATGATGGCTAACAAATTAGTAGTTCCATAAGCAGGCTGGGGGAAGTTGTGCTGTCCCTGGCTATATTGAAAGGAGACCTCCCCCCTGACCAATGCCTATGAACTGTGTTTGGGTTAAAATTTGAAATCTGTAGAATATATGTTTATGATTTCTATGTTAGGTAGAGAAGTTATAACTTGAAAACTTAATATACATCACATGCTTGCTATAGTAAACTGAACAAACTGCTTCAACCATGAACTTTATCAAAAACCAGTGTTTAAACTGGTTTTCTAGAAGGTGGAAAGAAGGATGACTAACTCATGAAAAAAAAAAATTAGAGCAAAAGCAACTTCATCATCAAGCAAATTCAAGCACTAATTACTGTCCTAAAAAAAAATCAGTGCTTCAAAAGATGTATCTAGTTCCCTCTATGACTTGGAAGATGAATTAAAGTCATCTTTCTATGATAGTATCTACTATCATAGAAAGGGAAGAAATAAATCTAATGGTCTGTACTACTTGTGTTCCTCTAATAACATTTATTAGTCCAGTCTCCTGTTACAAACACACAGACATCTGGAATCCTGCTTCTGTGGTTTTTACCCTGTGTTCCAACTCTGATAAACAGATGGGATAATGAGGTGGGGGACGCCCTAAGATAGTACCTATAACCACTTCTTTTAAATAGTAATTGGGGATCCAAAAGAACAAGGGCACAAAATTTGGAAAATATGACTGAAATTCACTTTTATTTCTTTTTTTTTAAAAGATTTTATTTATTTGATAGAGATCACAAGTAGGCAGAGAGGCAGGCAGAGAGAGAGAGAGAGGAGGAAGCAGGCTCCCCACTGAGCAGAGAGCCCGACGTGGGGCTCGATCCCAGGACCCTGAGATCATGACCTGAGCTGAAGGCAGCAGCTTAACCCACTGAACCACCCAGGCGCCCTCACTTTTATTTCTTTTATAAAGTTTTATCGGCACACAGCCATGCTCATTTATTTAGCTATAGTCCATGGCTGCTTTTGTGCTACACTGACAGAGTTGAGTTGTAGCAGAGATCACAAAGCCTCCAAAGCCTCAAATATTTATTAACTGGCCCTTTACAGAACAAGTCTACTGAGCCCTGTTCCAAGCCATCAGGGAATCCGGAGACCTCAGTTCATCACAGCTGACCTGACAGCGGCAGAAGATGAAACAAGTTAGGGCTGATAAACATTATGAGGCATAGGAGGAGTAGGTAGAGACAAGACGGTGATATGTATCTCAGCTCTCTTTTATTCTTTTGAATATTTTATTTATTTATTTGAGAGAGAGTATAGAGTAAGGGAGAGCATGAGCAGGAGGAAGGGCAGAAGGAGAGGGAGAAGCAGACTCCCCACTGAGCAGGGAGCCCGATGTGGTGCTCAATGCCAAGACCCCAGGATCATGACCTAAGCCAAAGGCAGAGGCTTAACCAACTGAGCCACCCAGGCACCCTCCTTCCCCCTTCTAGTCAGAAAGGTATCCAGGACTCTGGAGCAGGCAATCTTTTTTTTCTTTTTTTAAAGATTTATTACTTATTTATTTTAGTGAGAGAGAGAGAGAGAGAAAGAGAAAGAGCAAGAGAGAGAAAGCATGGGTGTGTGCAAGCCGGGGCAGGTGGGGAGTGGAGGGAGACTCTCAAGCTGACTCTGCACTGGGCACACAGCCTGCCAGTGGCCCGATCCCATGACCCTGAGGTCATGACCTGAGCTGAAAGCAAGAGTTGGATGCTTAACCAACTAAGTCACCCAGGCACGGTTTTCTTTTTTAAATCTCTTTAGAGGCATATGAAAGGAATTTTTTCAAGATCAATGATATAAAATGTATTTTAAGCCACCCACTTAAAATCAGCCGATAAATCTAATTATTCACACAGTGAACTAGATCTTAAAACAGTTCAAATTTTAAATTATACATTAACTCACCTGCACAATTGAATGCACACCAACTGTCTGCATAGCTTGGCTTTCATCATCTGAGGTGATAGCAACAAAACTAAATCCCCGAAAAAGCTGATGTGCATTAGCACTAGGTGGAATGCCAGGTGAATCTGAAAAGAATAATATGTTACTAAGAAGGTAATACTCTGAAAGCTAATTAAAGGAAGAATTGTTGACAATATGACCTTTCTCACTTATTCTGGAATTCCACTTCTTAGGTATCCAGGGCTTCCAGGATAACTCAGTGAAACACTCTCTCAGCTTTGTCCTGATGGCTTATTGGTATCACAACTCTAACATCCTATCTCCTCTGAGCCCAGAAAATAGCTAATTCATTGAAGAATATAATAAATCAATGAATTACTAGGTTAATGTTATTCTAAATTAGCACTGTCTCATAGAATTCCCTGTAGTGATGGAAATTTTCTTTACCTGTGCTGTCCAATATGGTAGCCAGTAGCCACATGCAGCTCTCAAGCATCTGAAATGTGGTTTAGTGTGACTGAGAAACAAAATTTTATTTTTATTTATTTTTTTAAAGATTTTTTATTTATTTGACATACAGAGAGAGATCACAAGTAGGCAGAGGGACAGGCAGAGAGAGGTGGGGAAGGAGGCTCCCTGTTGAGCAGAGAGCCTGATGCGGGGCTCCATCCTAGGACCCTGAGCCGAAGGCAGAGGCTTAACCCTCTGAGCCACCCAGGTGCCCTGAGAAACAAAATTTTAAATTTTAATTAATTTAAATTGAAATAACCACATGTGACTACTGGCTACCATATTAAACAGTGCAACCCTACATGATAACCTAACAATGTTATGGCTCCTGGTGAGGGGGAGATATAAGATTCCTCTACAGATAATTTAGGAGAAAGAAATTTAGTCTGGTGATCTCAATATATAACATCAGAATCTAGAAATCTAAACTACAAGTTAAAAATTACTATATTTATATATATATATATATAAGGAATAAAAGTAATTTCTAATCGTGGTATGCAGTCCTTAGAATATATTTTATGACATGACATGTATGGTTACTCAAATTACTTGTGTGGAATCTACTGGCATTAACAAAAATAGAAAAATACTTAAATAAATTTAATTACAAAAACAAACAAGATATAACAAATGTGCTATTCATAAATATAAACACACAACTAAGCATACTAATAATTATAATTACACTATAAAATCTAGGCAAAAACCAAACAGGCAATATACTTAAACATCAACTCCACATAAAGTTCTTTTTTAACATCAGCTTGACATTCTCAGCAACAAATACTGTTTAGTGCATTTTAAATCAATGTGACAGTATTATACTGAAGAACTATGCTAAGAGAACCAAGCTGGGTAGAATACAATACAGAACTGCTCTCTTTTGACATTTTTCCTCTATCAGGCCAAATTGTAATGAGAAAGCAAAGTAAAACATTACCATATATCATCAATTCTATGCATATCACTGTTCATGTATTTGATAAAATTTTACATATTAATCTAAATTTCTAAGACTGTCTTACCAAAAAATAATAAAATCCATTGATGTTTAACCAAATTATGAGGATACTAGTCAGAAAGCTTTATAGTGAGGTTTAAATGATATACTCTATAGAAAATATATGCAAATACACTTTTTATTTATTTGCTTGTCAATGATAAACCTGGGGTCTGGTACACCTAAATGAGAGAGTACTAGAGTGCAGAACACAAAATTATATGCATACACATACTAATTTAATAAAATACAGATTATTATTTCAAAGATAACTTCTCTAGAAGAGTCATTGTTTATGCAATTTTAGGATAAAGCATGACACAGGATATGAATCATTTTGAAATGATCACACCTCATGTAAAGTTTATGTTTTGGATTTGAACTTCACAAGTACTTCCAGAATTCTACCTAATATCAGAGTTTTAAAGAGTACTACCTATACTGAAGAGTATTTCATGTAAAAATAGCTACAGGTAAATGAACGCACAACCAAAGAATTTTTTCACATAAAGAGTATCAAAGTTTAAGGTACAACCTAATTTGCTAAAAGATTTAACAAGGATCTTAACTGCTATAAAATGTTGTAAAGGAGTTACTAATTTTCTAGTTATTGAAGCAGGGATACGCTACACAGGGCAGATATGAGGATAAAATTAGGAGTCATATATATGTGTTACATTTAGGTTTTCACATTTTCTCCTTACCTTTGGGAGTTTTTGCAGTAAACTCAGGATCAAAATAGAACGTATCTTCAGGCCTGCCAGTTGCAGGTTTAAAAGGTGGATGAATTTCTCTTCTGTACAGTTTCTGGTGGAAAAAAAAAGAGATTTAGACATGCATTGAATACAAAAAAATTCAAGAAAATTTTCATTGTATACTCACATTCCAGTCTATTGTTGAGAAAAATGAATGTCTTTTAATTTCCTCAACTCCATCTGGTCCTGCACCTATCAAAAATTGAATGGTTTAAAACTTTTGATTAAATGGTAATTTTATTTCAAGGAGGAATAGGTAATTTAGTGTTTGTTTTTAATATATGTACTACTATGTCATAATTCCACAACAAAAACAAATACCCACCTCCCCCCACTAAAAAATCCCAAAGACCAACAAACACACAAAAGAAACAAATTTATTACAAATTTTACCCAATCTGTTCGCAGGATTTCGTTTGAAAAGCATTCGTAAAAGACTCTGGGCTTCAGGACTCAAAAACTGTGGCATCCCAAGCTTGGCTCTAAATAATAAATCCACATAATAACGTTTCATTTTTTGGAAGTATTTGTGTTCTATTTTAAAATTGTTAATCCTTTCTATTTTGAGATAATTGTGGATTTATACTAAGTTGTAAGAAATAATATAGATCCTGTGTACACTTTGCCCAGTTTTCTCCAATGGTCACATCTGACAAAATCATAATACACTATCAAAACCAGAATACTGACTTTGGTACAATCCACTGATCTCCTTCAGACGTCTCCAGTTTCAACTGCACTCACTGTGTGTAAGCTTAGTCCTATGCCATTTTACCATATGTATAGGTTGCTGCACCCATCACCACAGTAAAGATACTGAACAGTTCATTACCATCAGCATACCTCACGTCCCTTTATAACCACACTTGCCTCCTTCCCTCTCCAGTTCCTAACCTCTGGTAATCACAAATCTATTCTACATTTCTGTAACTTTGTCATTTTAAGAATGTTATGTAAGTGTAATCATAAAGTATGTAATCTTTTTTTTTTCCTCAGTATAAATTCCCCTGAGATTCATCCAAGTTGTTGAGTAATATTCCATGGTTTAGTTGTACCACAATTCGTTTATCTATTTCCCTGTTGAAGGGTATCTGGATTGTGTTATTTGGGTTACTACAAATAAAGATGCTATGAACATTTGTGTATAGTTTTTTTGTGTGGATGCTTAATAGAATTTTAGTTCATAATCTTTTTTTTAAAGATTTTATTTATTTATTTGAGAGAGAGAGTGAGAGAAAGACAGACTACAAGCAGGGAAAGGGGAGGAGGGAGAGGGAGAAGCAGGCTCCCCGATGAGCAGGGAGCCCGACAGGGGGCTTGATCCCAGGACCCCGGGATCATGACCTGAGCTGAAGGCAGACATTAGCTGACTGAGCCACCCAGGCACTCCAGTCCATAATTTTCTAATAAACTTTTCCATTTTTATAAATTTTGCAACAAGCACTGCTGTGAGAGTAAGATATCTGAGTTTTAGTTCTGGCACTGTTACTAAGAACTTTGTGACCTTGGGAAAAGACAATCCCCTTGGGTCTGTTACTACTTCTTTATAAGCAAGGGATTGACCGTTAGATCAATGGCTCCCAAACTATAACCTTGGAACCTTTTTTTCAAAAGGAATTTAAGAAATCCACTACTTAAAACTGCTAAAAGAACATGTGCTTCATATGCTTATGTGTTCCTCCCATTCCCTTTAACAATCCTACAGGGAAGAAGAGCTGGTGGGAAAGGGGTCTGTGGAACTTCTAAGAGTCTACAGCACACAGTCTGAAACCCACTAGCTTGAATGAGCTTGAAGGTCAGTTTCAGCTTTAATATGTAATTTTATTCTTTTTCCCTAACTTATACATTAATGAAACTATCTCTAAGTACGAAAACGATAACAGCTGGGGAAATGGCTAGCAGAGAAATTTCTACTTCAGAAACAGATCCATTTATTATTCAAAGAGTTGTTAGTGAGCTACAATGTGCCAGCTATTCCTTAGTGCTGAGGGTACAGAGATAAAGATAGGAGAAGATAAAGATGGACAACCTGAGGATAATCCTGATATGTGAAGAGGCAAATTCAGAAGGACATATGGAAAGACTGCTAAGAGAATAGCAGGGGATATCTAATTTAACATGAGAGAATGAAAGGCCTTAAATGCAGTTAAAGATTGAGAATTTATTCACTTGGCCAGCATTCCCCCAAAATTTTACTAAATAACTTTAATTTCTCTAGATACTCAGCAACAACCAAAAAATACTTCATGATCTAATGAATTTGTGGAATGCTATCTATAATATCCCTCTTGGAGACACAGAATAAAATATACTGCATACAAAACGCTGAGAAATCTAAAGTAAAGAATCAGTATTTTTCTAAATATTTGCTGCTAGTATGTCTTTTTCAGTGAACACCTATTCACATCTTGTAGAATTAGGGTTCTACTGAACAAATCTGGGAAAATACTGCCATATTAGGTAATAAGGATATTAGCAGAGGTCTTTCAATGGTGGACTAACATGACCAAATTTATTTTCAACAAGGTAACTCCAGAGGTTAGTATAGATTGATCTGGAGTAGGAAGTGGTGGTAGCTGTAGGCATTTTACTTCGGAGCTTCACTCACTAGTGTATGTAGGAGACTACCACGGTCTGAGAACTATAAGCAGTGCAGTGTAAAGGAAAGCCTGGGACACTGAAAAACTTTCGAGAGCAAATTTGGTCAATACCTGCAAGTGCAAGAGAGGGGAAGAAATCAAGAATGATTTTCAGGTTTCTGGCTAGGGAAATAGGGTGCTTAGAAATGAGGCTAACTGGGGTGCCTGGGTGGCTCAGTCAGCAAAGCATTTGCCTTTGGCTCAGGTCATGATCCCAGGGTCCTGGGATCAAGCCCTGCATCAGGCTCCCTAATTAGCGGGTAGCCTGCTTCTCCCTCTCCCACACCCGTTCTTGTGTTTCCTCTTTTGCTGTATTTCTCTGTCAAATAAATAAATAAATAAATAAGTCTTTTTAAAAAATGAGGGTAATTGAAAATACAAGAAGAAAAAAAAGAACACCAAACAGATAAATTTAAATTAAAAATGTTAAGTCATACATATCATGTTTTTGGAGAGCTATGCTGGTGATTAAATGCCAATACAGGTCTGATGCCTGGTTAACTTAAAGTAAGAAAGAGTAATTTGAGAGTAACTAAAATGCTGAGAGTAGTTAGAGGAAAGACTGAAGTCAGCCAGGAAAATGTACACAGAAGGGAAGAAAAGCATATCAGAGATGAAACCCTGGGGAACAAGAACATTTAAACAGTAGTCAGAAAAAGAACAATTTGAGCATTAAAAATAATGAATGCAATTGTTTGTAAATGCTGAATCACACTGATTATTATATCCCATAGATTCATTATAGTAAAATAAGAAAAGGTCAAAACTAACATAAAACCCAACTCACTGGACATCATCACCACTGGAGGTAATTAGGGCTCTGACAACTGGAAATTAAGAATCAAACATTTAGGGGCGCCTGGGTGGCTCGGTGGGTTAAAGCCTCTGCCTTCAGCTCAGGTCATGATCCCAGGGTCCTGGGATCCAGCCCCACGTGACCTCTCTGCTCTGCGGGGAGCCTGCTTCCCTTCCTCTCTCTCTGCCTACCTCTCTGCTTACTTGTGATCTCTGTCAAATAAATAAATAAAATCTAAAAAAAAAAAAAAAAAGAATCAAACATTTATTCTGCCTTTCTTGTTTGAACCTTATTTCAAGGTAACTGAAGAGCCCTCATTGATTAGAGAAAGTTCAGTGTTTTGGGTAATACCAACTAATAAATGAAGAAGGAATAAAAGCAATAGAAAAATCATGATTTTTGAATCCCTAATAAAATAACTGTTTCAACTAATGATTATCAATGGTTGAAAACACGAGATGAAACCCTGCCAGGGAAATTCGCAAGAGAGGGACCAGCTGTAACTACAGGAACTCATCACTTAAAGTGGGCCAACAAGGTGTTCTAAGCCTTCTGATGTGACGCAATAGGGTGCAGCATGAGCTATGAAATAATCTTGCCAAAAAAAAGTTTAAAGAGAAATGTGATAAAGGAACAAGTTAAACAATATTACAAGGAAAATAAAACAATTTCAACCCTCCTAGGAAAAGACTAATTGTTTTGTAACCATGTTAACGAGAGCCACAAGAACTGGCTTTAAAGTCATTTAACTGATCAAAACAACTTGCCTAGGTAAACACTGTTTGTTTGTTTCTGTTTTTTTCCAAATCAACCCATCAATAACTGCTCTTCATCTGTGAAAATCAAACAAGAATGGACTGACTCCAACAACCACACCTGAGTGCCAAGTGATCAACAACAGACCCACCCAAGTAACCACTCTTAGAGATGATGTCAACCCACTTATGGCCCTGAAAATCTGCCAAGTTTTGAACTCCACCCTTCCCCCAAAAGTCTATGTAAGAACAGTGGTCTACACTTCTTAGATGCTATCAAGATTAGCATCACTCTCCCTTACTATAGTAAGCAATAGGATTGGCTTCAGTGCTTTTTGTTTCATGTACTTAGGGTCGTCTTTTAACAAGATAAATTCTGAAAGTGGAATTCTATAAAACTGTCTTGGTTTCTTCCACAAGCAAATGGTAGGAAAAAACAGGGTAGAGTGTTCTGGAAAAAAAAGAAGTTTGAGAAATACAACCAAATGAAAGGTTCAGATGTGATGTGGGACTACAGAGACACAGTTTTGGAGAAAACCTGAAAAATCTGTTTAAGAACTGGTATTAGTGGATACCTTAGCAGTGTCTTGTTAGGTGTGGTCATATAAGAAAACATCCATACTTTCTAGTGATGTAACCTGCAGTAGGTGAGAAATGGCATGTGTGGAATGCTTAAAATATTTCAGTGAAGAGAGGAAGCACATGTGGCAAAATCTTCATGACTGCTGAATCTGCATGACTGATCTATGTGTTCACTGTATTAACACTATTTTTATGAATTACATTAGAAATTTTTCATAATTAAACAGAGAAAAGCAAGCAAAGAAGGAATGGTCAAGCAGGAGACCAAAAGAGGAACTGTTAGGGAGGCAGCAGCAGCAGATGGGAGTAGGAAGATCTAAATAGGGAGAAAGTGGCCAACAGTGTCAGATACTCCCAGAGGCAACTTTCTTACCTGTCTTCTCTAAAATGGCTCCTGCCCCTACTCCTTCCCTCACACTTCAAGAATAATCTGGTTCATTATGTCTATTGCTCCTATTATTATCTGAAGTTATTATATTCATTTGTTTAAATATTAATTCCTTGTCTCCCCCTAGGATGCAAGCACTGTGAGATGACAGAAGATCCTGTCAGTCTTGTTCACACTGCATCCTACATAGATGTAGCAAGACCTCAATCATCTGTTGAATGAATTGTGTGAACAAATGGTGCAGAGAGTCACCTTTCTAACAATCTGCCACTGGGTTAAGCAACCAGATCACTGCTGACCAGAATAAGAGAAGTTTCAGGAGATTGGTGGGAATGAACCACCAATGGGCTGCTGAATAAAAGCAGCCAAGAAATGGTACCAGAAAGCACAGACAATTCTTTAAAGAGGCTTTCTATTGAAAGGATGCAGAAAGACGGTGCAGAAAGCTGAGAGGAAGCCAGGTCAAAGAGAGGGTTGTTTTTTGTTTGTTTGTTTTGAAATTAGAGTATATTCGTTAGCTGAAAAGAAGGGGCCAGGATCGATGGAGTAATGAAGGTTCAGGGAACAGTCACTTATATAGCAAGTATTTTTTATTGTGGAGAATAACAAAGTGCAAAACAAACAAACAAACCCTACACAACCCCAACATTACCAACTTATACAGTTTATGGATTTACCAAAAAGTGAACAGTCACGTGGCCAAGAAATGTAACACTGTAATCTGTCATTCAATGTTAACCACTTTTCTTATTTTGCCTTGGCTGTTGCCATCTACATATGGGCCTTAAAAACTATGCTTTAGTTTGTCTGCTTTAAAACTTTATGAAAAGGGACGCCTGGGTAGCTCAGTTAGTTAAGTGGCTGCCTTCGGCTCAGGTCATGATCCCAGCGTCCAGGGATCGAGTCCCGCATCAGGCTCCTTGCTCAGCAGGGAGCCTGCTTCTCCCTCTGCCTCTGTGCCACTCTGCCTGCCTGTGCTCTCTCTCTCTCTCTGACAAATAAAGAAATAAATAAAATCTTAAAAAAAGATTAAAAAAAAAAAAACTTTATGAAAAGAGGGGCAACTGGGTGGCTCAGTCAGTTAAGTGTCTGCCTTCGGCTCACGTCATGATCCTGGGGCCCTAGGATCAAGCCCCACACAGAGCTTGCTACTACCTCTCCCTGCCCCTGGCTCATGCTCTCTCTCTCTCAAATAAATAAATAAAATCTTTGGGAAAAGAAAAACAAAAAAAACTTTATAAATAGAACCATATAGTTATTTATTCTTTTGTGTCTGAACTGTTTTTGCTCAACATCCTTACACAATTAATCCAAGTACCTGCGTATAACTGGTTTGTTCATTTTCTTTGCTGTATGGTACACTGCACCCCTGGGCCAAAGGCCTCAGTCTGTTTTTGAAAGGCTTTCGAGCTAAGAATGGTTTTTACATTATTTTTAGGATTTTATTTGAGAGCAAGCGAGCATGAGCGGCGGGGAAGAACAAAGGGCAGGAACAAGCAGACTGCGCGCTGAGGGTGGAGTCCAACATGGGGTTTGATCCCACGACCCTGAGACCAGGACCTGAGCTGAAATCTAGAGTCCGAGGCTTAACTGACTGGGCCACCCAGGTGCCCAGGGACCCGGGTTTTAACCTTTTTAAAGTGTTGGAAATAAACAATAAAGAATAAGAATATGTGACAAACAGTGTGTGTGGCTTGCAAAGCCTAAAATATTTACAGATCATATGTCAACCCCTGCTTTATCTCATTTATGAATATATCATAATTTATTAATCTACTCTACTGCTAGTGATCCATTTTCCACTTTTTGGCCATTACAAATAATGCTGCTATGAACATCTTTGTTCTAGTTTCTTGATGTGCAAGTACCTCAATGCATGTAAACTGGGTGCATGCGTACGAGTGGGATTACTGGATGAGGGTATACATGTATTTGGCTTTAGAAGATAATGTCAAAAACTGCTTGCCAAAGGTTGTAAGAACCTTCTAGCTATGGATGAAAGTTGCCACTGCTCCACATCCTGTCAGCAGTTTATATTGTTTAGCCATTCTGGTGGGTATGCAATTGTAGCCCATTGTGGTTGTAATTTGCATTTTCTGATTTACATATTAGAATCAGTTTATCAAGTTTCACACAAAAAATTTCTTAAAATTTAAATTCCATCTGCATTATTATTATACGCTGTATAATATGGTAGCCACTAGGGGCGCCTGGGTGGCTCGGTGGATTAAAGCCTCTGCTTTCAGCTCAGGTCATGATCCCTGAGTCCTGGGATGGAGCCCCCACATCAGGCTCTCTGCTTAGCAGGGAGCCTGCTTCCTCCTCTCTCTCTGCCTGCCTCTCTGCCTACTTGTGATCTCTGTCTGTCAAATAAATAAATAAAAAATCTTTAAAAAAAATATGGTAGCCACTAGCAACAAACAGCCACCAAGCACTTGAAATATGGTTAGCCCAAATTCTAAGTATAAAGTGCACCCTGGAAAAAATAAAATAAAATAAAATGCACATTGAGTTTCAAATAAGTATGGAAAAAATGTATCATATCTCATGAATCATTTTCTATTGTTGATTACATGTTGAAATGACATCTTGGCTATACTGGGTTAAATAAAATATATTATAATCCATACTAAATTTTTTTTACTTTTTAAAAGTTTCTACTAAAAATTTAAAATTACACAGTAATTTTACATTACATTTCTATTGGAAAATGCTCATCTATACAAACCCACATCTTTACAATACTCTGTCATAATGTGAATATGGTACAACCTTACAAAACAATCCTTTAAATTTTTATTTTTTTCCTTTATTTATTTATTTGACAGACAGAGATCACAAGCAGGCGGAAAGGCAGGCAGAGAGAGAAGGAGGAAGCAGGCTCCCCACTGAGCAGAGAGCCTGATGCGGGGCTCGATCCCAGGACCCTAGGATCATGACTGAGCCAAAGGCAGAGGCTTTACTTTAACCCACTGAGCCACCCAGGCACCCATTAAATTTTCTTTAAATAAAATTTCCTAGTTTTCTGCATAGAGTTTTTACATAACTTTTGCTAGATTTATCCCTAATTATTTGAGTTTTTTATACTATTGTAAATATTATCTTTTTAAAAAATTTCATTTTCTGTTGCTACTATGGATATAAAATAGATTTTATTTATTCACCTCTGATCCAACAACTTTGCTAAACTCTTATTAACTCTTATCAAGAATATATATGAAGATTTGGATTTTCTACGGACACAGTCATGTTGTATAAATAAGGACAATCTTATTTCTTCTTTTTAAACCTTAAACCTTATTTCTTTTCCTGGCCTTATTATACTTGCTAGTATCTCTAGGACAACATGAAGAGAAGTGGAATAATCGATGTCCTTGTCATATGCCAAATTTAAAAGGTGAAGCTTTCACTATCTTAACATTAACATGAAGATTATATGAGTACTCCTTTGGAGATGTAACCCAGAGCCCTGGATCCCTGGTGTTTCTGCTTGGGGCAGGGGCCTTGTCTCTGGCTGTACTTGGTGAAGGGCATGAATAAGGGCCAAAAGCTCCAACATTTGTGTGCCCAGAATTGAAAAAAAGGAACATGAGTACTCTAAATCTACAGGGCTGGTTCATATTTGAAACACATTAACATTAACGCCATAATATCAATGAATAAAATTTCATATTTCAGTTTGAAGCATTTATTTCTAAATCTCATCAAAACATATTCACTAGGGAGTACTTAAGGAGTACTTACTTAAGAATCATAGTCATTGTTTCTTTTCGATCTTTTCCTTGGAAAGGTAGTGTACCAGTGAGCATTTCAAACTACAAAAAGGCAACATCATCAGGGGTATTAGTCAAGAAGTATAAAATCTCAAGGCCAGAAAATAAAAAAGCATCATCTTACTTCAAACCAAACCTTGTAAAATTGCTATATAATAAAACAAGTGATTTATACTTCCACCATATTACTGAACTCAAAAAACACCCCAATCCTTACCATTAACACACCAAAAGACCACCAGTCCGCACTTTGAGTGTGACCTCGACGATTAACTACTTCGGGAGCCATGTATTCCACAGTTCCACAGAAAGAATAGGCCTTCTTTTCATGGTCAATAGACTCTTTACTTAGGCCAAAATCTGCCAAAATAAATATATAATTCATAACTGTCCTACAATAATTTCCACACTTAAAGTTTAAGCTTTGAGTTCCAATATTTACATTTATTAAAAATTCTATTCCAAGTTTTCTAAGCAATGTGTTACTCAATATTTGAACCACAATCAACTTTAAAAGAAATTATATAGAGTAGAAGAGAATATTTTAATAAAATGAGGATTTTTTACCTGTTAACTTGATGTGACCTTCTTCATCAAGAAGTATGCTGAAAGAAAACAAATTCAGAAAATCTTTCAAACTACTAGATACTTATAGAACCTAGAACTGAAACTACTGTGTTAAGCACCAGATCACCACATTTCTTCTAAAATATTGTTTTAGACTGTGATAAGGGAAAGGTAAAAAGGAGAAAATTTTTTTTGGACACACATACATAACAAAACCCAAAGGCAAAGCCTTATAAACGTGTATTAAGGGCGTTTGAAAACTATAAGGAAAAGAACTAAAACCTATATTCTTTCTAATTTCTAGTTGCTCTTTATAATGCTTTTCTGCAGAGGTGGCCTAACTAAAATCCTTAGTGCTTGCACAATAGACAGAGGGTCCACATATTTAAGTCAACTGCCATTAAAGTTGTCATTTTTTTGGTCATTTTTTAGGTATCTGACTCAATCATTCTTTCCTAGTTTCTCTATCCAATCCTCTTTTTCTTTTCTTTTCTTTTTTTTTTTTTAGAGTCGGGGAGTGGAAGGAGAGAGAATCTTAAGCAGGCTCGATGCTAGACACAGGGCTTGATCTCAGAATCCAGAGATCATGATCTGAGCCCAAATCAAGAGTTGGACACTTAACCAACTGAGCCAGCCAGGTGCCCCCTATCCAATCTGTGTAAGTTCTCCAGTGTTTTCTCTCTTTCTCAGTAAACTCTGAGCTTCTAGGTTTGACCTTATTCATCTTGTCGCTCAGCGCCTGGTAGAGTAGAGACAAATAAGAAACATATGTTGAATGCATGGGGCCAGTCTACAAAAGGCCAATAAGGCATTCCAAAGAGTTTGGGCTTCTTCCCAAGGGCACTGAAGATCATATAAAGTTTATATGCATGAAACGTAGAGATAATCAGATCTGCATTTTCATAAAACAGTTCAGAGGGGAAAATAAAGGGTATTTAGTGAGCTCTTAAATATGGATCATGATAAAGAACAAATGGAGAAGACACTAGGTTTCCGGCTTTAGGAGATACTTGAGTGGAGAATAATGTCATTAATTAACAAGCTATAGGAAGGGATAAGTACTAGGCTGTAGGCCAATAATTCTATTTCTGGATAGGCATTTTAGTATATTGACTTGAAATGCCAATTAATAAACTGTTTCACTTATTCAAAGCCATTCTGTAACATAGGCATTTCTTCACTTTTAATTCTAACTAAAAAAAAAGTGAAAGCCAAATTTTGCTATAATAAAATTTTACTATGTCAAAAATACTACCAACCTTTCTATGTCATCAATTCAAATAGGATTACAATAAAGTTTACCACTGTGGATAATTCAGTAGGGACTTATTTTTCATGTCTTCATAAGGGACTTATAAAAAAATACAAGCTTAATTATGCTCAATTACAAAGCAGACTAACCATTTCCAGAATATAAAGCAAATTATTAGGTATGCTGGAAATGATCCTCCGTCTAATAAATACATGAAAGACAATTCTAAAAACAAAACTTCAAATCACTCTTGGTAATTTTGAAAAAAAAAAAAAAAGAGAGAGAACATAGCTAAGCTAAAAAAACATTACTTATTCCTTCTATAGCAAATGCATTTTTTTAATAATTATATATTTTTAAAAACATATATTTTTATCCCCAGGGGTACAGGTCTGTGAATCGCCAGGTTTACACACTTCACAGCACTCACCATAGTACATATCCTCCCCAATGTCCATAACCCCACACCCCCTCTCCCAGCAAATGCATTTTTTTAAGATAACCATGTTCACCCTTTACCTTTGTCTTTTAAAAAATTTTAAAAAAAATTTTTTTAAAGATTTTATTTATTTATTTATTTGTCAGAGAGAGAGAGCACAAGCAGGCAGAGCGGCAGGCAGAGGCAGAGAGAGAAGCAGGCTCCCCACTGAGCAAGGAGCCCGATGCGGGACTCGATCCCAGGACACTGGGATCATGACCTGAGCCGAAGGCAACAGCTTAACCAACTGAGCCACCCAGGCATCCCCACCCTTTACCTTTGAAAGAAAAAGCCAACTGTATTACTTTCAATAGGCAAAGTTCCTTTTCAACTACTAATAATCATTTTCAACCATATTTATTATAACAGAGTTCTGGTTTATAAGAATGTGGGAAACCCCTTACAGTGCATAAAACAACTGGTCTAAAAACTGAAATTTCTTCCAAGTTCTATATGATGGTATATAGTTGGATTATTTAACAACTAAATGTTACTTCAACTAATAGTGTCATCTAGGCATCTTTGTGAAAGATCTCACTTCTTACTTACATTTGATCTTATTTGACTCTTAAGAAAGCCCCATGCTGTATACATAATTTTATGACCAATGATAATCCAATGGTTTGCAATAAATACATTCAACTAAATGATATAAAACACTAACAAATATTTTTATTATGTTTAATCATATGTTTATAGTATTTTTTTTCTTCTAAGGACGATATACTTGAATATTTATTCTCACTAGGAATTATATTTTGTGTCTTTATAGTGCAAAATCAGGAAAATGATGAGAAAAAACAAAACTTAGTAATTATCTGGGGAATAACAATGGATGCATATAAAACTTATCCAAAACCAAAATGTATGAAAAATGAAAGTAAAATGTGAAAGTATAATAATTTCAAAATGATCATGTAAATAGGATCCCAAAGGATCATTTCCTGTTGTAATATATAATTTAAATTTTGCATGTAACATTTTAATGTAAGTAATATCCAAATTCTTTTTTTTTTTAAAGATTTATTTGAGAGAGACAGAGAGAGTGTGAGTGTGAGTCAGGGGTGGGGGACAGAGGGAGAAGGAGAGAATCTTTTTTTTTTTTTTTTTTTTTTTAGATTTTTTTTATTTGTTAGGGAGGGAGGGAGAGAGAGCGAGCGAGCACAGGCAGAGGGAGAGGGAGAAGCAGGCTCCCCGCCGAGCAAGGAGCCCGATGTGGGACTCGATCCCAGGACCCCGGGACCATGACCGGAGCCGAAGGCAGCCGCTCAACCAACTGAGCCACCCAGGCGTCCCAGAAGGAGATAATCTTAAGCAGGCTCCACGCCTAGCACAGAGCCCGATAAAGGGCTCCATGTCACAACCCTGAGATCATGACCTGAGCTGAAATCAAGAGTTGGACACTTAACTGACTGAGCCACCCAGGCGCCCCAAATACTAGCTTCTTGATACTTGCTACTACAAAAACAATGGGAAATTTGCTCAACTCACACTAAGAATTTGAAATGATGTGGAGAAGAAAATTTTCAGGGGCTCAGGTCATAATCTTGAGGTTGTGAGACTGAGCCCCACATCAGGCTCCACACCTGGTGTGGAGCCTGCCTAAGATTCTCTCTCTGCCTCTCCCTCTGCCCCCTACTCATGCATGCTCTGTTTCTCTCTCCCCACCTCCCTCCAAAAATTCAATAAATGGTATTTGAAGGAAAGCATTAACTCTATGCTATCCTTCATACCAAAAAATTTCCAGATGGAGTTAAAAGTTAAAAAAGAAACCATAAAATGAGAATGTAAGTATCTGATTATGGGATTGGAAAAGGCTTTCTAAGACTAGAAGTCATGGAAGAGATTACAAAAGTCTGGTAGATCTGACTAAGAAAAAAATACTTGTATAGGTAAAAATAGAATAAGTTAAATTAAAATACAAACTAAAAAGACTATTTGTAATATATGTCAAATGGTTAAATTCTTAATTTCTAAAGGTATCTTAAAAACAACAGGAAAAAAATATTCCAAGATAAATGAAGGCCACGAACAGAAAATCACACAAAAATAAAAACTGTCAATAAACATATGCACATGGATTTCAATCTCATTAAAAATAAAAATATGCAGTGGCGCCTGGGTGGCTCAGTTGTTAAGCGTCTGCCTTCGGCTCAGGTCACGATCCCAGGGTTCTGGGATCAAGCCCCACATCGGGCTCCCTGCTGGACAGGGAGTCTGCTTCCTCTCCCACTCCCCCTGCTTGTGCTCCCTCTCTTGTTGTGTATCTCTCTGTCCAATGAATAAATAAAATCTTTTAAAAAAATGCAAATGAAAACAAGATAACAATAACATATTATGATTGGCAGATTTTTAGAAGTATAAGATTACATAGTGTTATCAGAAATGTGAAGCACAGGTACTCTCATATAATTCTTGTGGTAGTTCTACAAAGTAATTTTATTTTTTATTACCTCTTAGATAATTTTATTACATTGTATTCAACTTAGTAGCATAATTCCTTACTTTTCTGGTTTTAAGTCTCTATAGATTATTCCCAGGCTATGTAGATGGTCTAAAGCAAGTGCAAGTTCGGCCAAGTAGAATTTGACATCTTCTTCTGTGAACATCACCTAAAATAAAATAATAATTTTTTGTCTTATTTTCTGTGTCTGTAGCTTTTATTTAAAATTCCATCCTAGAGTTTAAATATTTAAAAAGTTATAAACACGCTAATCACATGTAGTTTTATCCACTTTACCAATGAAAGGAAATTTGCGAAAATCCCTGACTGATCAAATCAGTCAACTAATCACTTTCTAAATGCTAAATGTGCACTGTGGGGGAAATAATTTTACATTTTATTAAGTAACATCTATATTCGGATTGTGCCATTGTTGCCCTACCACAGTAACATCTTAGAAATGAAAAGTGATCTTTTAAATGCATGCTGAATTTCCAGTATTAATTGTTTAAGGATACCTTGATATATTATTTACTGCTTCTGAAAACTGGAACTAAAAGATGCAGGACAAAGGACAAAGACATTTTATCAATTTAAAGTCCCACTTTCAGAATAATTTCAAAAGGTAGGAAAAGAACTCTTTTTGGCTCTAATTAAGACTCTTGTGCCACTAGAGAAAACACGATAAACATAATATTGAAATATAACAAAGTTTTAGTTAAAACAGGATGCGTATAGATAGATTAAAAATAAAGATTAATTACATACCTCTTTGGATAAGCGTGTAAACAAATCTCCTCCCCTGAGAAAATCCAAAATAAGATACAACTTCCCTTCAGTTTGAAAAGCTGAATGAAGAAATGAGAATTTCTGTTTAATCCGCCAGTTTATTTTTTTGGCTTACATTAGGTCAACTCATTCACAAATTATTATTATTGAATAATGAATATTATATTATTTTAAGCAAATTAATGATTATATCATAGATCTAAATTTATTTTTTATGAGAAGATAACCACAGATTTCTCTTAGTGTCCATGTGAAAATGTTAAAGGCAGAGTTTTTTATTATGGAACCACTAGAACATTTGTTGCATTTTCTTCAGGTCACAGTCTCCCAGGAATACAGTAGTTTTAAAACATGTGATCAATCACATGGGTGGCTCAGTGGGTTAAGCCACTGCCTTTGGCTCAGGGTCCTGGGATCCCACCAGGCTCTCTGCTCAGCAGGGAGCCTGCTTCCCCCTCCCTTCTGCCTGCCTCTGCCTACTTGTGATCTCTCTCTGTCAAATAATAAAATCTTTTAAAAAAATGTGATCAATAAGAAAAATTCCCAAGATGGTTACTTAACCATGAAACAAAATACAAGAACCATATCACTTAAGTGCAGGAAAAATGTGGGTTTAATTACACAAAGCTTTAATTACACAAAGAATCACCACAACTTTACCCACTGAGAGAAAGCATATACACCTTTGGGGAAAAGAAAGGTGATAAAAGCTTCAGGATGTTGACATTAGGGATCTTTCTTGCTTTTAAGAAAAGTTGGGCTAACACATATGGACTATAAACTGCTGGTACACTGTTATTAATCATATAATATGATACAAATATATAAATATATAATTAACTCCTTATTATAATAAAGAACAATGATTATTATTACCTATTCCTATGGCTACCACTCAGAAACATAAGTATAAATGCAATAAAGGCTTCTGAAGTTTAAGAAGTAATGGTTTAATTTCCATGATTTTATTTATCTGTTAAACACATGTAAATATACACAAGCAAATATTTATGTACATTAATATATCTGAATGCACTTAGGGAGTGGAGGATCAGGTGGAGGGATGAGGTTTCAAGTGGTTTTGAACTTACCATAATGTAACTTGACAATAAAAGGATGATTAACTTCTACCAAGATATCACGTTCCATTTTTGTCCGAACACGATCTCGAACTACAAAATATTGTACATATGGCTGTATTACAATAGCTTTCAGAGACAATCTTTAAAACAAAATATCTTTGGTGCCTATTTTAAATTAAATTATGCTAAAGTATGAATTCATATTTTCATACATACCAATAAAACAATTTATATGTACAAATAAAACTACTAGTCTCAAATTTTTAAAATTAATGTATTTTTTACTAAATTATATAGCTAGACAAAATTGTTCATGTTTATAAAATCTGTGCTTTACATTTAAAAATACATACAGAGAACATATCAGAATTTTAATTAGATGTTGGCTTTAACATCAAATGTTAAGTATTTTAATCAAAGTTATAAAAAATGACCAAAAAAGAGTAACTTTCATAAAAAATGAAGCATCCCAATGAAATACTAAAACACACAAGAAAATGGAATAGGTTTTACTAACCCCTACCAATCTTATCAACTCAATTTAACAAGCATTCATTAAGCAACTGTAAAATGTGACAGACATGGTGAATGATGGGTATACCCAAAAGGTCTATTTTGGGGGAAGGAGGAGAGAAAGGGGAGAAGAAATAACGTGGTGCAGCTGAAAGAGCAACGGCTTTTTGGAGTTAAATCAGATTCAGATCTGTGTAATCTTAAGCAAGTTACCTACTCAAACTCTTTGAGCCTCCACTGCCTCTCATCTATGAAGTAGAGATAACATCACTGTACCTTTGTAGGCTGTGTGACCATCTGAGATAAGGTCTGTACATCCCAGAGCCTGGTATATAGGAGTTAGTCAATTAAATGGTAGCTATAGAACCATGAATATGATAAAGGGATAAAATGACTTATTACTAGCAATAAGTAGTACAGAAAGAAATTCAGGGAAGGAGAATATGAGTAGGAAAGCATGAAGGAAGAGGTGGAGTTAGGCACTTTTGGAGTGGAATTTAGATGGATGGGAAGGTCAGACCTAAAGAAGAGAAGTCCAGGTATGGAGTACCAGAGCAAGCAAGGACATGGAGGCATGCATAAGGAAGAGAAAGGAACCAAATTGGTATGGAAATTGGGGAGGTTAAACTGGGAAGACCCAGATTCTTGACAATCTGGAATGGCAGATAAATTTACGTTTTGTCTTATAGGTAAAGCTCTCTTTTACCGATCAATGATTCCCTGAGCAAATTCTATGTAACCGGTACCATAAGACACAAATACAAACAAAATATTCTTCAGGAAGCTCATAATCTGATGGGAATGACAGACAACTAAATAGAATACATTCTGGTAAGTATTCTGTGTTGGTAGCTCAATGGATTTAAGAAGTGAACATGATCATTCATTAAAATTTTATTATTTTATTCTGTTGCATAATAAGGATAAATCATAAATGACTTGCATTCTTCAAGTCAATGAATGGTTATGTCAAAGACTAAGCAGAAAGAACCAGGAAAAGAGTCTTCTTCTGTAGGGGGAGGAGGGTAGGGACAGAGAGAAAGATGAACTGGTATTCTTTTCAATATAAAGTGACCAGATATTTAAAAACAGAAATAAGACCCCTGGAAAAAAAGAAACAAAGAATCTAAAACAAAATCCTATGATTCCCATTCTATCAATTTTCCACTTTCAATTGGGAGATTTCAGTGCCAGTGACTGAAAATGGGCAAACCAGATATAGAAATCATTTTGCTCTTGAGATCTACAAAGCTCTTTTAAATGACTTGTCCAGCAACAAGTATATCAAATTCAGTATCACTCTCTGATTTCATTATCTTATCCTATCACAACAACTGGTGTCTTCTATCCAACAGACCGTTTCTATTATTTATATAAATGAGGTTCATCACCTAGGTCTGCTGATAACTCTGTACCAGTCTAGCCCACATTTGTGCTTTTATACTGCTACCCATATGATCTTGGATTCAGTTTCTATTACCTTAAAGCTGGATTCCAAATGTCTATCTTTCGATAATTATACAAAGATTACAAAGCTTATCATTTAAAACACACCTCTCTGCTCAGTGAGCAGCAAAAATAACCATCATTATATTTACTGCATATCCCTCATCTATTATTCTATCACGATGAAAAGAACAATTATTTGGGAGTCAGGAACTACAGGTTTCAGTGGCCCTGCTAGTAACTAGATGAATTACCTGCTCAAATTCTTACACTGCTCAGGGACTTCCTGCTTCCTTCTCTATAAGATGAGAGGCTAGAAAAAGATGATTTTTTTTCCTATTATGATTATGATTATCTTGTGAGGTGGTTTCCTTACATGTAACGCTGATGAAAACTTGGTTTAGTTGAAAATGAGCAGCGAGATTTACTTACTCAAGAATTCCTTCATTTTGTCTGAGGTAGGACTGTGTAATAATTCTAATCTGGTTTCTTTTATCATGTAAAGTCCCACTGACAAATATAAATCATCCTAAAATCAAGAATTTTGATTAGGATATACTGGTTTAGAAGAAGGCATGTTTTATATTGGCTAAACTCTAAACCCTAAAATAGAATTTGTTAATAATGACTCATGCTGGCAAAGCAACCACATTCCTCTGAAATAATTTTTCTCATATAGTAGCTATTAGATTTTAAATCCTCCTTGACTTGAATGTAAGAGTGAACAAGAAGAAATGCTGTTTATGTTTCTAGGATTATGTATTAAGAAACTTTGAGGCCCACAGACTACTGTATTAGGACAAAAGTCCCTACAAACTCAACTTAACACTAATGACTTCTACTTGACCCCATTTATTGTATTAATAGGAACTCTGAAATGGAAAGAGACTTCTGGTTAAACATAAATGTTTTACTTTCTTCATTCTTCCAAAGCCCCAATGAAATTACGATAATGGAAAAATTATGCATAAGCTCACAAGGACAAAGAACAGGATGAGAAAGCAAGAGCAGAAGATGAGTAAGTGGTAACTTATACAGTAGATAAGAGAAAGCTAAAAGCTAAGCCTGAGGGAATGAAGCCAATGAGAAATAAGGAAATTCTTGCCAGAGAACTCTTTCCAGTTGGCTATTTGGTAACTTACTCTTTTTTAAAGATTTATTTATTTGAGAAAGAGACAGAGAGACAGAGAGACAGAGACAGAGAGAGAGAGAGAGAGAGGAGAGGTGCAGAAAGAGAAGGGGAGAATCTCAAGTGTACTCCCAACTGAGCATGGAGCCCAAAGTGGGGAGTGATCTCATGACCCTGAGATCATGACCTGAGCTGAAAGCAAGAGTTGGACACTCAACCAACTGAGCCACCCAGGTGCCCTGGTATCTCACTCTTAAATGTGAAAAAGACAGCAAAGGATCCCCAAGCATTTGAGGAATGGCTCTAAAGATGAAAAATAGTTATAAAAATAAACAGGAAAAAAAGGAATAAAGGGTAACAGAGACAATGTAAAGAAGAGGAGAAAACTTAAAAATCAACGCCATAATAATTTATATACCCCAAAAGAGCAAAGACTATATGGCGCCCATGAAATAAGAAGCTTTAAAAAGGGTCAGGGTGGAAGGAACCAGTATCTTCAACAGATAAACTACCAAAAAAAAAAAAAAAAAATGGAGACAGAGTTCATAGATTAAAAGACTTACAGAGAATCAACCAACTACAAAATAGAGATATAGATCTCGATTCAAACAAATTGCAAAAAGAAAGATGAATTATAACAATAGGAAAAGTGGAAATTCAAACATTGATTAGATATCTGTATATTAATTTTTTAGGTATAGTAATATAGTTATATTATTCAAAAATCTTTATCTTTTAGAGGTACATACTAAAATATTTATGGAAGAAATTGTACAATGTCTAGGATTTGCATCATAGTATCAAGAGAGGGGAAAAGAAAGGACACAAACACAAAAAAAATTGACCATGAGTTGAGAAATGCTGAGGCAGCAAGGAGGTTAATTGGGGGTTCTCCATTTCTTTTGTTTCTTTCTGTAAATGTCTGACACTTTCCATAATGGAAAGTTTTTAAAAATAGAAGAGAACAAGGAAAATCTAGGAAATTAAAAATGATGGTAGAAACAAAAATGTCTACAGAAATTTGAAAGATAATTGGTATATTTCCTAGAAAATAGGGGGGAAAAGACAAAACTAAAAAACAGCAAGGAAAAAATTAAACGATCCACGAAATCCAACATATTCAAAGATCAGGAGTTACAAAATGGGGAAGAAATGACAAAATACTTGGCCAAAACTGAAGAAGTGAATTTCTAGATTGAAAGAGACCATCCCATACCTGATATGGTAAATTTCAAAAGTTCACACTAAAGAAATACCATTGTTCAAATTCCAGAACAGCAGGGATAAAGAATTGAGTGGTTCTAAAAACTTCCAAAGAGGAAAAGCAGCTTACGTACAAAGGAATGGAAGTCAGTACTGCAATAAACCTCATAATTGCAACACAGGAAACTGGAAGACAATGGAAACTATGCCTTCAAATATCTGAGGGAAAATTATTTCTCACCTAGAATTTTATACTCAGCCAAATTATAAATTAACTGACAAGGTAGAATAAGGGCATTTTAAGACATTCAAGGTCACAAAAATTTTACCATCCATTCACCCTTTCTGAGGTAGCTACTAGGAGATGTGTTCTACCCAGACTGGAAAGTGAACTGAGAAAGAGGTAGACATAGAATTCAGAAAATGAGATCTCATACAGCAAAGATGTGAAGTAATGTGACTCCAGTATACTATCTGGCTCAGTTAGGAACAGTTCTTACGAAGCTGTAATAATGTGGGACACATGGGTGGCTCAGTCAGTGTCTGCTTTCAGCTCTGGTCATGATCACAGGGGTACTGGGATGGAACCCAGCATCTGGTTCCTTGCTCAGTGGGGAGCCTGCTTCTCCCTCTACCTGCTATTCTTCCTGCTTGTGCGCTCTCTCTCTCTCTGATAAATCAATCAATCAATCAATCAATCAACCAACCAACCAACCAACCAACCAACCAACCAACCAACCAAGCTGTAATAATGAAAACATTACTGGGCAGACATGAAAGGCAGAATTATGTGTGGGTGGTAGTATGAGAGAACTAAATCCTAATCGCTATGTTAGGAAGTCAGTAAATTGTCACCAAATGAAAATAATCAAAGAATTGCAATTAAGAGTACTGAATGTGGATATAAATGACAGAAATAGCAGTTAAGGAGACAAAAGTCATTGTCTCTGAGGTTCGAGAACTGGGATAGGGAGGAGAGTTGGCAAAGCAATATTATTTTGTAAGATTCTATATACATATTACTTTGGTAAAAATTAAAATTGAACTTAAGAATGTGCTAAAAATTATCTGACCACTTACTATTCCAATATGTCAAATATTTTCATTTTTCTAGGGTTTCTTCTATAGCTTATATCCATGTAATTTTACATACTTGTGGTAGCCAAATTTGTTGTAACTGTTGACTTACATATTTTCATTAAGTTCCCTTTGGGGATTATATTTGAAATATTTCTTTTAAATAATATCCTATTAAATAGTATAATTTTTAAACATTCCTCTATTTTTCAATATTTGTGTGATTTCCAAATTCTCAACATTATAAATTAATATTGCTATGAGAATTTTCAAGTGCATGAATTCTTTCTCTGAGATTATTTCCTCAGGTTAATTTAGCAGCAATAATGCTTCTCTGAATTTATTGCAAAACCACTTTCCCAGTTTATGCTTCCATTGTATGAAATGTTAACATTATTTTCCATGTATTTCTTTATCAGCAAAATGGAACATTTTTCCAAACATTATTTTATCCCCCTTCATAAAATTTTGAAATCCTTTAGGTAGAGGTTGTAATACTTTTTAAGACCTCCTAATTTAATTATTCCTTTTATATATATTATTTGGAATTCTACAGTAAGGAAGAGCTCTCCCTTGCTCCATATTACTTAATTTATGTGTCAATCCATGGATTTTTGTTTGACTCAGTGGTTTGTAATCCATCACTATAATTATTGTAATGTTCAAATTGTTCTAGGTTTGGCCCATAGGAGCCCTGTATTCATTCCTTATATTATTTTCTAGGGGCGCCTGGGTGGCTCAGTGGGTTAAAGCCTCTGCCTTCGGCTCAGGTCATGATCCCAGGGTCCTGGGATCGAGCCCCGCATCGGGCTCTCTGCTCGGCGGGGAGCCTGCTTCCTCCTCTCTCTCTGCCTGTCTCTCTACCTACTTGTGATCTCTGTCAAATGAATAAATAAAAAAAAATGAAGTATTATTTTCTAATATTTGAGGTGTATAATTTCATGATTTCTTATTTATACTATTTTTCATTGTGTGAAAGGCTAAATATTTTTGCAGTGTCAATCTGTTTATAACTTGTAATTTGCTCAATATCTCTTCACAAGTTTCCTAGATGTGTTAAGTTGTAAAATTCAGTTAGATTGTTCAGTTAGATTGTTAGATTTTTTTTATGGCATAGGGTTTATTTAAGACTAATTTTTCCAGGTTGCTAAGGAGTCTTTCAAACAAAATTTGTGAAATCATTATTTCTCATTGTTCTGTACACCTGGTTTGCCATACAGCATAGCAGCTATTCTCTTTGAGGTGTATGCTTTTCAAATAAAATTTTAAATATTTAAAGGAAAATTCAATTGGAATCTTGAGGATATGGAGCTAATTGGATGGCTGGATGAATACTAAGATCCTTAACAACAGTTAGCCTTCTCTAAAAGGAATGGGGCATTTATTTCCTTTCCTGATTTCTTTTAGATTTTTCAGCTTTATAGTTTATGTATATTATGTACAACACAGAACTCATCAAATATATGAAACCTACTTTTGTTGTTTTTGTGAATGACCTCTTTTGTTTAAGTTCCACTGATGTAGTTTTATAACTTGGGAGTAAGCATAAAGTTATACAAGTAGTGATATAAAGTAGGGCACTGAGGACATAATTTAATTCTCTGGTCCTAGCAAGAATCAAGTAAGTAGTGTGCCAGTTGTAGAGACTAGCTAGGAAAGAAAATACATTCAGGAAGGGAGCAAGAGAAAGAAAGCAAAGGATGGTGTTTATAGAGAATTGTAGAATTTCTTGGAATGATGATATCCAGCTTAGGTCACTAACTAGAAAGAATAACATCAGAAATAATAAATGATCATCACAAATATTCCTTCCTAAATATTTTAAAAGCTTTAAAATTACATGTAGGGTGCCTAGGTGGCTCAGTCATTAAGCGTCTGCCTTCGGCTCAGGTCATGATCCCAGAGTCCTGGGATAGAGCCCCACATCACGCTCCTCACTCTGTGGGAAGCCTGCTTCTCCCTCTCCCACTCCCCCTGCTTGTGTTCCCTCTTTCGCTGTTTCTCTGTCAAATAAATAAAATCTAAATAAAATAAAATAAAATAAATAAAATTACATGTAAACTGAAGAGGAAAAAAATGATGCTGGGAATCAATACATTAACAACCAGAGGTTATGGGGTAAAATAAAACTACTAAATAGAAGATTTAAGGGGTGCCTGGGTGGCTCAGTAGGTTGAGCAGCTGCCTTTGGATCAGGTCATGATCCCAGGGTCCTGGAATTGAGCCCTGCATCAGGCTCCCTGCTTGGAGGAAGCCTGCTTCTCTCTCTCCTTCTGCCTGCCACTCTATCTGCTTGTACTCTCAATCTGTCAATAAATAAAGAAATCTTTAAAAAAATAGATTTAAATATTTTAGAAATTATGTATAATTTCTTCTAAATGACTATTTACCTAAAAGAGTCAAATCCTATATAAGATTGTTCAAAATCAGAGGCTTAAAATAAAAAACTTGGAGACCAGAAGTCAAGATGATAAAGTCCTTAAAATAAAAGCTATTTTTCATTTGATAAATCAGTAGGTTTTCAAAACATTAAAATAATCACATTAATTTGAAGATGAAACAAACCCAGTCTGAGTTTTCTTTTCTTTTTTTTTTTTCTTTTTAAAGATTTTATTTATTTATTTGACAGAGAGAAATCACAAGCAGGCAGAGAGGCAGGCAGAGAGAGAGGAGGAAGCAGGCTCCCTGCTGAGCAGAAAGCCCGATGCAGGGCTAGAACCCAGGACCTGGGATCATGACCTGAGCCGAAGGCAGTGGCTTAACCCACTGAGCCACCCAGGCGCCCCTGAATTTTCTAAACATTTATTTGCATGAGCCCAAGATGAATTTATAAAACTTTTTCTTTAACATGGCAACGCCCATTCTCACTAGTCATGTGATTCCTAGCCCAGTAGGAAAAATTCATTAAAATAAGTTTAAACTTAAAGATAGTAACAGGAACAGATTCAGAATGTTAAGTAACTGGCCTAGGAGTCACTGGAGATCTGTTGAGACCTTCCAGTTTGCTTAGACTATGCAAACAGTATAAACAGTTATAGCACTTACCTTTCAATGTGGCCTTCTTCAATACTTTCATGGCATAAAGCTGTCTAGCATCAGAGCCTGAGATTTTTTTGACTAAAAAAACCTGTATTTAAATGAGAGAGAAAATAAGTTTTACAAAGTGTCACAAACTATGCCACTGTTAAAAGTAAAACCCTTCCAGTAATACTGTGTATTACTAAAGAGATTCCGTTATGCCGTAGATGCTTATTTTTCTCATGTATCAATTATAAATACAATGAGTCGTAAACAGTGGTAATAATTTGGGGTGTCAACATAAGTGAATATATTGTTTTCTTTCTTTTTGTTGTCTGCCAATTCCCAAAAAGCACGTAACATATAAGACACAAAAATCTTTGAATTGTGTAATCAGATAAAAGTCCAACATGTTTAAAGTATAACATAAGTGGTCATTGCTCTGCTTTTAACAAAATAAAAATTCTTTTGATCTGATAAAAATTGTCATACAGGAGTGCCCCTGGACCACAATTTTCCATTGATACAATTAATCACTGATAACTGGTCTTTTCTATGTATGAAAACTGCACATAAATTTCTCATCGCTGGGAAGAACAATTTAAAACACACTGAAGAAGCCTATTCACAACTATTTAATGTGACTCAAGACAGAACCCTACATTTCGATCTTTGAAAAATCAAATTATCACATACACCTAAATATGAAGAACACAGTTCCTACGTATGTTACTAAGCCTCTTGATTTTCCAAAATTATTTTTAGCTGCTTTCAAAATCTAGTGTGAAATTTATGCAAAATGAATAAAGCCTGCTCTACATAATTCACAGTCATGCTATAACATGGCTAATACAAAACTATACATCTTTCCTGTTCATTTTGACCATTAGGTCTGTGATCCTTTTTTAAAGTTTTTATTTCAATTCCAGTTAGTTAACATACAGTGTAATTCTAGTGTCCGGCATACAGTATAGTGACTCATGATCTTTTTCATTCAATCTTAAACATACTCACTAAAGGGACCTGAATTTCAACTTTTTTTCTTCTAACTATTCTTTCCCAGCAGTTGCTATTGAGTTGCCACAGATGGGAAGACAAGCAATTATAATCAAGAATTTAACTTTCAGGTCAGCTCTCAATTATCTGCTCTAGCATGCCAGGCTATTAGCAAAAATCAAAAAATGCTACATCCAACAGATTCTAGGGCAAGGCATGCTCATTTTGAGAAACTGTGCCAAAGGTGATTGGCAATGACCTCCAAAGTTTAGTGAAGAGCACCACAACCTGCACAGAAACCTGGATGCACTGTGTGTTCTTCTCCCCAAATCACTCCCTCTTGTCCTTCTATGATGCCCCACCCTTTAGTTCCTTTTAGCCAGTTAGCAGTGAGCTAAACTAGGGAGAAAAAAGCATTCTTAATCAGGTTCCTAAGATGGAATGATGTTCACATGTTAAAGGTAATCAGATTATTAATATTTTTTTAAAAGATTTTATTTATTTATTTGACAGATCACAAGTAGGCAGAGAGGCAGGCAGAGAAGAGAGGAGGAAGCAGGCTCCCTGCTGAGCAGAGAGCCCGATGTGGGGCTCAATCCCAGAACCCTGGGATCATGACCCAAGCCCAAGGCAGAGGCTTTAACCCACTCAGCCACCCAGGTGCCCCTATTAATATTTCTGAACAGAAATAAATTCTAATTAGATGGAGATAATTAGGATTTATTTGGTATTTATTCTTAAGATTCCCTAATCAAGCTTCTTTGTGCCATTCCACAAGAGAAATTCTCCCTATGGATTCCAAACCTTTTTCACCCTTCTTTGAAAGTACCTTAACACTTTTCAGCACTTCTTGGTTTGCAAAGGACCTTCACAAGCATTTGTAATACATCATCATGATAATTTTGGGAGACAGGTGGACTAAGGAATGCCTATTTATAGCTGCCCAAGCTAGGGCTTAGAGAGGTTAAATAATTTGACTAGTGTCACAGTGGAGGTACTGAACAAGAATCGGGCCACCACCCAGTTCTGTGCCCTTGCTCAGGCACTCTTCATCTGTTCCCTCTGGCAGGTCACCAGTTAAGGGCAGCAGAAGCAGCAGTGGTCCAAGATGCCATTGGATCTTCCCCAGCCAGAGCATTCATGACCTTTCGAACCCCCCATGAAGCTATTCTAAGATCTGATAGGTCATCCCTGTTTCCTTGGCTTACATGGGCTTTTTAGGATGAGTAAGAAAGGAGACGCCCTATTTTTAATGTTTGCTATTTATAGTAAGGTATTTAAGTTACTTTTAAAGAAATAAAGGGAGATGCATGCTAACTCCTGGCAACTTTAAATATTGTGTTCCCTAAAAATCTAACGTATAAAAAGAAACCAGTCTATTTGGGTTTATCCATAATATGACTGCATGATAATACAATTTCATAGCAGATATTATGTGCTTGGTCTTTTATTATTTGATTCTCACTCCTAACCTATGAGGTCAGGACTATTATTTACTCATTACTTCTTTCCAGAATTATATGCTAGGTACTGTGCTACTAGCTCAATGCTAAGACATGGTACAAAGCATGTCTCCTGCACTCATGGAAAGAACACAGAGTCTAGTGGAGGAGCCATTGAGCAGTTACACACATGAAAAACTGCAATTGTGGTGAGTGCTGCGAAGATGAGGTATATAATGTTCTGACAGGGTAAAATAGAATTTGACTTAGAATGGCAGAGAAGACTTCTTTGAGATCATAAACACGAGAGGCGCTAGTTAAGATGAGGAAAGGGTGGGGTGGGGTGTTTCACAAAGTGGAAATCGCATGCGCAAAGGCTTTCTAGTAGGATGGAGCCAGGTGCTTAAAGACTGGAAAAAAAAGGGCCAAGGTAGCCAGAACATGGATAGTGAAAAATACATAAAGTGGTGCTTTTCAGGTAACTAGGCACCAGAACAAGGGGTTCCTCAGCCATCTTAACAGTATGTTTTTATCCTAAAGGCTTAAAGGAAGCTACTGAAGTGTAAGATTAGCTCTTGGTGGCTGTCATGTAAATAGTGGCTTGAGGAAAGAACAAATTTAGTTCTAGTTAGGGGCCTCCTTCAACACCCGAAGGAGAAATGGGGGTGGCAAAGACTTCAGGAGTAGCAGTGGAGAAGGAGAGGACAGGCACGATTTGAGAAATCTTTACTAAATCAATAGGACTTGCTGATAGTTCATACTTGGTGGGGAGTGGCAAGAGAAAAGACAGGCAGTAGAAGGTAGGTCAAAAATGTCTCCCAAGTTCCTGGCTTGCTTAACTGGATGCCATTCATAGTTGCAGAGAAAAATGAAACAGGACAGGTTGGCAGGCGCAGGGGAAAATCCTGACTTTGGTTGTAGAGATGTTGAGTTTAAACTGCCTTTGAATCATGTGAAGAGAACAAAATATGCAGCTGTGCATAGAGTTCAGAGCTTAGAGGCATGATCTAGATTGGAGAGAGAAATCTGTCAGGACAGCTGTATATGGGTTACAATTACGATAGTGGGCATAGAGAAAATAATTAGTGGGAGTAGAGTGAGGAGAAGGCAGCCTAGAATGGAATCTTGAGGGATTTCAATACTTAATGACTGGCTGGAAGAGGAAAATGGGGCTTGGAGAGGTTAAGTAACTTGCTCAAGCACATGTAACAAGTAGAAAAAAAAAATCAAATCCGTATCTGGCTGACCGAGAGCCCAAACTCGCAACCATCACATTCTACTGTCTACTTAACCAATATTTGAAATAAAAGCATCACTTTGGGTTTAAAGGAGGTTAACAGCTGTAGTAAATTACCTATATTAGCCAAGAACTGCTAAACAGTCCCCCTAAAACACACAGGGAAGCTAAAGTGGTGTTGTTTTGGAGCTTGCAGACCATATTATCTTCAGATATTTCCTCATGGGGAGGTGGTAAGCAAGCACTGCAATGTGAAAGTTGAATGCAATCTCAGAATCTTCCTCTTACTGAGAAACAGAATAGTTAGATCAAATAATAGTAATCATAATATTGTACTTCTCAAAATGGAGGACAGAAAATGCTCCTAAGGTATGCAGCAGGGGGATAAGGAATATTTGAAGCAAAATGATGAAGATGTTGCATCTTCAGGAGCAATTTTAGTTGGTGGCTTTGTGAAACATTTTTGATGTTAAAGACAAACATGGGTATCATTGATTAGAATGTAACCTTGGCATTCATTTTAATTAATTAATAAAATAATTTATTTGTTAGAGAGCAAGCAAGAGAGCATGCGGGAGCACAAGCTGGGGGAGTGGCAGGCAGAGGGAAAAGCAGGGTCTCTGCTAAGCAAGGAGTCCAACGTGGGACTTGATCCCAGGACCCTGGGATCATGACCTGAGCTGAAGGCAGACGCTTGACTGACTGAGCCACCCAGGCATCCCTTTTATATTCAGTTTAAAGACAAGTTGTAAATCTCCGAAATTTTATACTCATAGCGGTAATCCTCCTCCCCTAATTCCTTGGGAGTAACCATTCACTTTCTGCTGGTAGTAGGGATATTCTGGAGGAAAGATTAAAATACACTGTTATAATGTACTTGACAAGATCACCTTCCGTATCTACATGAGGACTCAAAAAGAGTATCAAAAAGTGTACCAGGGGAATAATTTTTGATTTTTAATCATTTGCAAAGTGTACAAGTCACATGCTCTTGAAGAGAAAACAAATATGAAGTGATTAGTGCCAATTTACAGAAGTTTCCAGTGTACTTTTGAATGATTTTATTCACTTTCTCACACTTACTGACAGTGAGAAATGTAAAAACAGAAACAGGGGCGCCTGGGTGGCTCAGTGAGTTAAAGCCTCTACCTTCGGCTCAGGTCATGGTCTCAGGGTCCTGGGATCGAGCCCCGCATCGGGCTCTCTGCTCAGCAGAGAGCCTGCTTCCCCCTTTCTCTCTGCCTCCCTCTCTGCCTACTTGTAATCTCGCTGTCAAATAAATAAATAAATAAAATCTTTAAAAAAAAACAAACAGAAACACTGCTTGTACGGAGATTGGTAATATTTCATAAAATAGTACCATTCTCCGTCTGTCTGAGATACACACAAATTCCAAGAAACAACTTTTAAAAAACAAACACTCATGACTTACCTTTCCAAATGATCCCTGCCCTAATACTTTTAAAAGTTCAAACTGGGAAGGATCTGCCTTTTCATGTCCTTCCTTTACATGATGTGTGATTGCAATTTCTTTGATACTGCCTTCTTCCTGTTGAAGCAAATATAAACGGAAAAAAGAGAGTTAGAGACACTTTCTCCAGCTATAAACCAAGAAACATAAATTTAGCATTATCACATTAGAAATCCTCAAATTATTATTTGGTTTTTCAAAGTAAGCTCTATGTCCAGTGTGGGACTTGAACTTGTGACCCCAAGATCAAAGGTTACATGCTCTACCAACCGAGCCAGCCACACAACCCTGCAAATATACTTTCAAGTTAAATGTCAAAGAGAATGATACCAGCCCACTGCATAGACCACTTTAACCTCTACTTAACATTAGCACTGAGTATTTCCAAGTCTTCATTCTTCCTACTGGAGATAATTAAAATAGTTTCATGGGGTGAAGGCAGAGGATGTAAAGAAGTCTGAAAACACCACAGAGTAATCTGCTGTGTTCTGACATGTGCTTGTATTAGGTAAAACCAATCACACACACACACACACACACACACACAGAGTTGTGTTTACTGGGGAGTGGGGTTGAAAAATATTTCAAGGCAAACATGGAGATTTCTACCCTCAGCAAGGCCATTTGGATCCGTATGCTATTCCGTTGGAAATATGTAAGTTACTTTGTTTCTACAACTACTTGAGAACTAAACAGGGAGAAAGAGTTAACTCTAAGACACAAAATGAAAAAAGATTTAACATTTGGAATGGAGAATTAGACGCAGAAAAAAAGTTACTACTCAGCATAATGGAACAATGGAAGGTCTTAGGGTTAAGGGAAGGATTTTTAGACAGTGGATGTGTCAGTAAACCTGAGGGAAGGCATCAGAAAGGGAGAAAGGTTGAAAATATATGTATGTATACACAGAATTTCAATTACTTATTCACTCTGGGATTAGTAGATAAAGTACACCTTATTTAATCAAGAACTATATACTATGTTATAGCCAAAAACTACAATAAAACAAAACCAGAAATATATGCCTGTCAAGACCATTTTTCTTTTTTGCCTGTGTTATTTTTTCCTAGTGTCTAAGTATTATTAGTAGGATCAAAATATGTTGTACAAAAAGAATTCATTGTTTTTATTGTTGTTTTCCATATGCATGTTTGAGCTCAATTACCATTTTCTGAGATAGAATGTTGGCTATATATGGAATTACAAAGATTTCTCAAAAAGATACACTGGTCTACTAATATGGCAGGTTCTGAAAATGAGCAGTAAAAGAAAAGCTCTTGTAGGACAAAAAAGGAATCTAGGCCCACTATTTTACTCTGTAAGACAGACGTTTGTAGACTGTGCTAATTAATACTCAAGCAGCTTCAACATTTTGGAGGCTCTCAGAACTGTGGCAACAATAAAACAATCCCTCAATATGGTTTAGTCCTTTATTTTGTAATTTCATGTGTACTATCTCCTTTATTTTTCACAACCATCCTGTGTAGGTGTTAGGGTAGAATCAAGCATTACCTGACTCTGAGACTCTACCCCCCTTCCTGTGCACCCATTCTCTGCAAATGAGACTGGTTGGTGGGTGTACAAGCGCTTCAGAGTGACAGCTATTTGTACCTATATTAGGAAAGGCAGGAAGCAAATTACCAAATTCTTTAAAGAAAACTTTCAATGAATAATGTATGTGTGAAAATGGTTAAATCCAGCAAACATTTATTAAGCACCTACCATGTACCAAGCCTGGGTTAGGTGCTTTTTCACCTTTTATATTTCCTGCTTCATAACAAACCTTGTTAGAGAGGGCTGGTAACAACAGGGTGGGGTATACCTCAGAGCAAGCAAAAACATCTCAGAATTCTCTACAGACTCCCCCATTCATCACTAGAAATTTGACAGACCTTTTAAAGGCCAAATGGTCTGAATACAGTTTGAAGTTTAAAGAGATTAAGTACAGATCACAAGCCAATAACTGGCAGACTTATGGATCAATTCCAGGTTCTGACTTCTAATGACTTCTAAAACAAGGGTCTTAGCATTACACCATTCTGAGACTGTCAAAGGCTTCTGTGGTTCCCCATCCAAGATCAATGACAGGAACATACAAACTTATTCCCTTGATCCTTTTAACTGGTCTGTTTCTCTTGGGTCAGTTAGCTATAGTGATTAGAGAAATGTTTTTGAACTTTTGGTAGCATATCTTCATCAGTTAAAAAAAACTAGCATATACCCAATATTTATACGCTTATTGGTTTTGAAATTATATATACTTTTTGTATTACTGAATTATATACATTATACATGGAAATGAAACTAAAAGGAAGTTCTCCTCTTTCTTTTCTGTAACCCAAAGTGCTGTCACATCGCACTTAAAAGACTTGTGGATTACAGACTTAAACTCAAAAGGCCAAGGTCATGGGTTGGATGCTAGCATGTACCAGTCAGCCTACTATGGAAAAAACTATCTGTTCAAGAGCCTAACTGGAATCTAACAGCCATTTATGCCTTTAAATCATGAGGCTGTGAAGAACTATACTCTATATAACATTCCATATGTCTTATCAGTTTTCTTTTTTGGGTAAGTGGGATGTAATTTTAGGCTGCAATATTGTTTCATCTTTTATTTCATAAGAATACTATAATTAATTGTCACAAAGATGCAACACAGGCAGGGAACGATCACTGAATTATAAAATGTTTTGCATTTTGCAGCAGTCATACAGGATCAAGTCTTACTCTCATAAGGAGAGCTACAATCAGGTCACGGATCTCAAAATAAACAGCAGTAACTATTCAAGAAAGATTTCATCTTGGATGACTACCCCTCCTTTCCTCTCATGTCAAACAAGTTACCAAAAAACAGAATCTCCCTTTGATCCCTTCATTCAACAAACATATACTAAAACATCTACTATGTATCAAACATGGTAATGGGAATGTCCTTTCTTTCCTCCCCCCGCCCCCACCATTTCCAGTAGCATCACCAGGTAAAATTCTTCATTACCTTTCCTGTGGAAAATTGAAACTAGCTTGGTTACTTGTAATGCCCCTTTGTGCCACTGCCAGTCCACTTCATCCTCCTGACAAATTCATTTTCTGAAAGGAGATAGCTCCAGTCATATGACCAGACTGCCCAAAAACTCCTTCTAAGTTTTCCTAAATTAAATGCACTGCTTCCCCTTGGCATGTAAAGCCCTCTACAATAAGGCTGCAACTTAGTTTCATGGTATTATCTCCCAACATTGCCTTACACGTAATCTTTTGTCCACTGGATTATTTCCTGTTCCTTAAACATTTTGTTTTTAAAATTAAATATGTGCACATGGATGACCAAATCAAATAGTGACAAAATACCCTATGATGAAAAAAGCAAGTCTCCTCTCACTCCCAAACCTAGGCTTTTTAAAAAAGTTCTTTCTGCATTTGATAATTTCTTGGTTTATTAACTTTAAGACAATGCCTGCTGATTTAAAAATAAGATGAAGGATTCACTCATACCTCTTTCATCATCTTCTTCCCCACTATTTGATAACTGTATTGCTTTTACATAAATTTCTCATCTTTTCTATTAGTTTTGGATAGAATCCTAACTCCTCACCTCATTTGGTTTTCAAGATTTATTATTTATTTGAGAAACTATGTGTGCAAGGGAGGAGGGGGCACAGGCAGAGGGAGAGAGAGAATCTCAAGTAGATTACCCTCCAAGAACAGAGTCTGATGTGAGGCTCAGTCTCATGACTCTGAGATTATGACCTGAGCTGAAACCAAGAGTTGGACACTTAACCTATTGAGCCACTTAGGTACCCTCTAACTCCTCACTTTATAAAAGGAGGTTAACAGTGCCTATATGGACACACCTGGGTGGCTCAGTCAGTTAAGCGTCTCTGCCTTTGGTTCAGGTCATGATCCTAGAGTCTTGGAATTGAGTCCCATATCAGGCTTCTTGCTCAGTGGGGAGGTTGCTTCTCCCCCTGCCTGCTGCTCCCCCTGCTTGTGCTATCTGACAAATAAATGAATAAAAAGAATCTTTAACAAAAAATAGTGCCTGTATTTCCCTAACCTGCTAGCTATATTTTTACGTTTTTATTAATATTGAGAAAATTAATTATCTCCTGTAACCACAACCAAACCCTTCATATTATCTCCACCACCTGATTTTAAAAGCAGAAGTCCCATACACCAGCATTCACATTTTTATGACAATATATTGTTTAAATGCAGGCTAGAAAGTACATTAAATTTCCTTTTATACAGGCCCATAACAGTGACTTCCAAGACGATCTGAGGGGACTTAAAAAACAAAACAAAACAACACTTCATCAAATGCTTAAATTCATGATACATTTTACTTTGAGTTCTATTGGGACCATGAATTTTTAAAAAGGATTTTATTTATTTATTTATTTATTTATTTGACACACAGGAAGAGAGATCACAACTAGGCAGAGAAGCAGGCAGAGAGAGAGGAGGAAGCAGGCTCCCTGCTGAGTGGAGAGCCCAATGTGGGGCTCGATCCCAGGACCCTGAGATCATGACCTGAGCTGAAGGCAGAGGCTTAACCCTCTGAGCCACCCAGGCACCCTGGGGACTATGAATTTTTTTACATGTTTTTCTTTTTTTCCTGTTTCTAACAGCCCCGTCATTCCTGGGGGGAGGGAAAGATTAATTTGACCATTAGTCTTAATTTTTCCTTAACTCTTTACCATACTTCCCGTTCTTCTGAGAGCCCTCTCCTACCCCCCCATCAGGAACGACTGTTTTCTAGGCCTTGCTGTACAGCTATTACCTCCAGGTATCTCTTCTGGGCTTTCCTGGTTAAACCCACTATTCTCAGTTTCCCATACCCTTCTCTTTCTTAGATTACTACCCTGTTAACTTCCTAAGAAAAGTGATGTGGAAAAAAATTTTCTGAACCTTGCACATCCGAAGATGTCTTTATTTTGTCTTCACATTTGTATAGTTTGGCTTGGTACCAATTTCTATAGAATAAAAACAGTCTGGCCTTGAACACTGACATTAATGGCCCATTGCCCTCTAGCAGCCAGGACTGCTACTGAGATGGGTGATGCTAGCCTGATACACATATT